GCAAAATACAACACAAAAATAATTAAATATTAAAAAATATTATTATATATCTATATATTACAACAAGTTTTAAAAAAAAATTAAGCAAAAAAAATAAAGAAAAAAATGTAATTAAATAGTCATGAAAAGCATGAAATAAAATATTAGAACTAAATGTGAAGAAATATATAGATATTTTAGGGCAAGAAAGGATAAAAGAGATTTTTAGGGGGGGGGCAAAAAAAAATTTAGGAGGGGCAAAAATTTTTTTTTTACTCTACTATAACTTTTTTTTTTGTTTTTTTTACTCTTATAAAAAAAAAAATTTTTTTTTGAGGGGGGGCAATTGCCCCCCCTAAGGTGGCAGTGGTTCCGCCCCTGGCTCTCTTCAATCTTTAGCCAAATGTCTCTCTCTTGTAGAGATTGAGAGTCTATTTTATATATTTTAGTGAGTGACACACCCCGTAAATATGGAGAAGATCCAATGGAAGCTCGAAGTGCTCCATTGGATGGTCCGTATTGATTACCTTGATCTTAGAGCATTTTTCAAGTGTTTAAGTGCCTTTATGATGTTAAAATTCAACAATCTTAGGCTTGTTGGATTCTTCTCGCCGAACTACTCGATTCAACTATAGGAAAATCATATTTGGATATCATGTTGTCATCTAATTAATGCTTTGAACCTTCCAAATACTATTCAGACTCTTAACTTAGACCCATTTGGGATCGGATCATACTGATTTTGTTATCGTTGGGTTCATCTCTTTAAGATGTTTATTTTAACTATAAGTTTGTTGAAATTAAAATTTAGATGATCCCAAATTTAATTTTAAGAGTTTTCAACTTGTATATGCCTCGAGATTCATGCTGGTTCCTGTCAATTTTTGGTGATGTATCAGCTGTTAATAAGGCAAATGTTTGTCATCACCATTAACGCAAAAGTTTGTCGTTGCCAATGGGTTGGCACCAACAATTGCCAACAAGGAAAATTATGCCTATCTAACATTTTAACCTTCAAAGTAATCAATAGCCAATTACTCATTTTATCCCCACCAACTAAATTTATCTAAAGGACTGACTCATCCAAACATCCTCCTAGCTTTAGGGCAAAGTTGACCATTTCATTCTACATTTTCCTATCCAAACTTTCTTATAAGTGACGGGGCTATGCTTTGTTTATGTTTGCTTGGGCATAACCCAATAAGAATGCAAGTGTACATGTTGATAAAGTAATACAGTGTATGAGAGTGCGTCAATCCCACGAGAAAACAATGTGGTACACATAAATATTATAGTATCGTCTACTCAAACTATGATATTTATCCTACGAAATGAAATCATGGGTAATCCCTATCTCTAATGAGAAATGCAGGAAACAGTGAATATACTGGTAATTAAAGTGTTTTTGCACTAATGATATTGAATATCATAAGTTTTTCTAAAAAGACTCCTTTAAAGTAGTTGTGAATCAGAGCATATGCATCCTTAGATTTTTATCGTACTTGTAAAGATGTAAAAATCTTTATAGCCATCCTACAATTATTCAATCTCCATAGAACCTAAAATACTAAATATCTTATGTTTATGCATGCAAACATTCAATCTCAATTATCATAATTATTCCTCTGCGAGGCAATCATAATTATTCCTCTGCGAGGCAATTTATCACAGTAAAAGTTAATTTTATACATGACCACCGTATAAATTAAATAAAGAGCGGGAGATATTGAAAACAATCATTCATACCCTAAAACATAAGAGTCTACATTAGGAATTACAAAGGTGCATAGTAGGGGTGCCAAATTATGACTCCAACGCAACACAAAAAATTTGGTTTCGGGTCCACCCATTTAACAAAATAGGTTGGGTTTAGGTTCTAATTTATGACCTATTTGAAGGGTCAACTTGAAATGATCGGCGCGATCGCCCCGCTCTTGGCCGCGTTATTGCACCATGTATGCATCCTAACTCCAACCCACATGATCGCACACGGTTCGCTCCCACCCACGTCTCGCTCTTGCTCACATTTGCTTCTGCTCTAGCCCACATCTTGTCACGCCCGCGTGATTGCGTCTATACTCTAGTAGTCCAACCCGCATGACCGCTTTCCGCTCCCACCTGTGTGAGGCGTGACCGCACCCGTGCACCGTCCCTCTCTAGCCCAACCATGCTTGACCCACGCTCGTCTGGGTTCGTATGTCGGGTTAGGTTGACAAGAATTTGGGTGGGTCAGGTCCGATTTCAAATTTATGACCCGTTTGTGTAATCTGGTCGGATTCGGGTTGAAGCAGTCAAGAATGGGTCAGTTTAAGGTTGGACTCAAACTCGACTAAAAATATATATTTTGACACCCTACATCATTAATAAAATTTATGTGTGTAATTAGCCATTCAATAAAAATTGAACAATATAAATTTTATTTCGCTGCCAGCAAGGGAAGCTATGAGGGCAAGCTGGGGACGAGCTTGGTTTGAGCGTTACAAGGGGAATGGTGGGAGCGGGGGGGCAGTAGGAGATTATTTTGTGCGGACTTCGAACATAGAGGATCGTCCGGATGCTGCGTATGAATTGAGTATGGACTGTGTATAAACTACGTATTTATAGATATGCAAAAAATACTCAATAAATATTCGTAATTAATGATTGGATTAGTATTTATTGCATATCTATAAATACACAGTTTATACTCAATTTATACGCAATTCATACATAATATCTGGACAATACTCTACATACAAAGTCCACACATAATAATTTCCCCTGCGGCGCTGGGTTGGTGCAAATGGGAGTATAAAGGGTTTATGTGTTGCGAGCGCCGAGCGGCAATATGAAGTGCTGCCAGCTGTACGATTGAGATTTTATCAGGAAAAAATTATAAGTAGAATTTAAACGGTTCCGATTTAATTTTGGTAGAGATAGATAAATATGTAAGAGCCGTGCCTTTCGATTATTCAGATTTGGCCACTCAGGGAATCTAGGGTTTTTTCTTCCGCCGCATTCCGTTTTCTTCTCCTCCATCTCCACCCGGCCAGAATGGTAAAAAACTTAGGTATGCTCTCAACTCTCTATTCTTCGAACTAACAACTTGTGTTTTCTGCCAGATAATTCCGAAGAAGAACCGCCATGAGATCTGCAAGTACCTCTTCCAAGGTCATGTTTGGGCAATGCATTTTGATCTGAATTTGGTTTCTTTCTTTATTGGATTTTAGATGCTGACTGTTTCGATTGAACAGAGGGGGTGCTATACGCGAAGAAGGATTACAATCTGGGGAAGCACCCTGATATTGACGTGCCAAATCTCCAGGTTATCAAGCTGATGCAGAGCTTTAAGTCAAGGGAGTTTGTTAGGGAGACCTTCGCGTGGATGCATTACTACTGGTACCTCACCAACGACGGCATCGAATTCTTGAGAACCTTCCTTAATCTCCCATCCGAGATTGTGCCAGCGACTCTGAAGAAGTCAGCTAAGCCGCCTTCCCGGCCTTTCGGTTCTGGACCTCCGGGTGACCGCCCGAGGTATTGATAGTTTGTTTACTGGTAAGGTTTTATTTAATGATTGAAGAATATTTAATTGGTTTGGCTTGCTTTTGTGTGTTATGGCAGAGGGCCGCCACGCTTTGAGGGAGATAGGCCAAGGTTTGGGGATCGGGATGGGTATCGTGGAGGTCCTCGTGGTGGAGATTTTGGTGGGGATAAGGGTGGCGCTCCTCCAGAATTCCAGCCTTCATTCAGGGTAATAACTGCTTTTTTATGTTTATATTGTTTGTTTGTTTTTTTTTTAAATTTCAATATAGAACAATGTTTTTGTGCTTTCTCTTTATCTGTTGCTTTTATGAAGCTTATCATTGATGGTTAATCTATTTTTGTTAGGATGCTATGTTCTTATATAGTTTCTTTGACTAGTTTTATTAAGGGCAGTTTATGAGAATAGATTGCTTGTATGATTTGAATGATTGATTATCAATTTGTGGGTATTACCAGAACTTTCATATCTAAGAAGAAGTTTAAATGCTTGACTATTAGAAGTAAAATGTTAGCAGTGTTTAATATTTTCTTGAACAGAACGGATTTAAAACAACAGGATGTTGTGTGCTTATTTTATTTGTTCTTGGATTCTTTTCTGTTGAGAATTGAAATTAATGAGGTGCATCTAAAGTTGAAATCTGCTACAAGCATTTATATTATATATTTAGGATGCTTGTTTCATTATTACTTGTTGCACATGAGTTTGTTTTTAATTTGTAAACCAGTTTATCCTATTTATTTGATGATATGCATGAACTAGTGGTTAGATTGCCTTTGATGTGAGCTAGAGTTTATGATGTAGAACGGAATTGATGGCAGCCACCCAAAGAAAGAAGATACCAAGGTTCCTGTGGTGGTTTGGGGGCTTGAGAGGAAGTAGACATCGAGTGGTGGCTCCTTGGCGTCTGGATAACAATCCATTTCATTCTCGAACCTTTGGACAGCACATAGAAAATCTGGGACAGCAATTTGTGATCTTCCAAAATGATGGAATAAGTGGACAGCAAGCAAAATTTCAGGAAGGCAGCAGTTCAGACACTGGACAGCAATCAAACAACAGGAGCAGCACATTTGGACGTGTGGAAAGCTCTGGACAGCAGGTCCTCAAGCTTCCAATACTGGACAACAACTCACTTCAGGGGAAAACAAAAATTTGGCTGATCCGTTGAAGGGAAGGAAGTGGAGTAGGGATCCAAACTTTCCTTAAGGCTCTCTCAGATGTTGCTACAGCAAAAGGAATCCAGCCGAAACTGCTGGACAACAGTTTGATCTTCCAAACAGAGCAGTTATGAGGCTTGAGATGGCTGGGTTTGCATGGGCAACGACTGAATTAATTCTTGGCTGAGAAACGTGGGAAAGAAAGAGGTGGGAGACGGGTGTTCAGCCAAATATTAATTCAGTGATTTGGAAATAAATCAACTGTCCAAATTTAGAATAATACTAATGGAAAGCAATTAAATGTGAGGAGTTTGGCCAGCAAGGAAAAGGAGTGACGGGAAGGATTTCAAGAACTGCTACGGGACTTGAAATTGTTTCCAAAATGAGATAGCCCCTTTTGGAAATCAATTTAATAGGAATCGGCTATGGAGAGGTGGCTGAGATTTGGGAAATCTTTCCAGGAATTGTTGGGGAGGGAGTTTAGGAAGTAATTAAAGGAGATTGAATGGGATATGGAGAGAGGGCCGGCGGCAAGCATAGACCATGGGGAGATTAATTAGAATAATTAATGCTCCTTAATTTAGGTAAGCGATTTGGGAAAATTATTTCAAGTCCAATTTGAATTTCAAATTCAAATTAGAAAAAAAATGGAAACTTTCCTACAATAGATTTAATTAAAGAGGGAAATATTTTGAAATTCTCAATGATTAATTTTGAATTTCAAATCTACCCACATTCAACTCAATCTAAAATAGGAAACAAGCTTGGATGGAGGAAGAGAGTGGATCGGCGGCTAGAGGGATGGAGGCCGGCGACATGGGGTCGGGCATGGGTTTTGGCTGTGGGTGTTGGATGGGGAAAAGAGGGGTTTTCGAGTGAGGCTAGAATCCGGCGGCCAAACGAAGATGGGGAGGAGGAAGAAGATGAAGATAATGACGAAGAGCAATAAAAAGGAACAAAAACAAATAACAAAATATCAAAGATACAACCGCGAGCCCGGACACATCCTGCGGCTGACGGGTACTACGCTGCCCTTCTCCAAGGGACTTCACGCCACGAGCCCGGACCCATCCTGCGGCTGGTGGAAACTCCGACTCCCTCCCATAGGGATTTCACTAACGTTCTTCCCAAAGAACCCAAGTGCAAAACACAAATTTTTTTTTATTAATCATCCATCATACCTAATACATGAGAAGGGGCCTCTATATATAGGCCTCAAAAGAAATTAAAAGACACATTTGCCCATTGGGCTTACACAAGACAAGAGGGTAAAAAGGGAATTGCGAAACTAAATTAAAATACACTTAATAAATGAAAATAAAACAAAGTGATCTCGGTCGTCAATCTTCAGCTCCTCCTCGGATTGGCATGGACGGTTGGATGTCCGCATCAGTTTAGATGTTTAGTCATGTTAAAAACTCCATGCAATTGTAACGTTATATTGTGCACATCAAATCATTATACCATGCATAAGAGGGAGTTTAATCCATTAAACATACCATCTTTTTATAATTTATCTTAATGCCAATATTTTTTTTTTGCATTATGGAGGTGAGATTATATTTTAGGTTGGGAAAACCATTGCTCTTCTAGAGATGTTTTCTTTGGTTATTTCAATTCTCAAATCTTAAGTTTTCCTACTTAAATGTGGTTCATCATAACTATATTAAATAGTTGTTGTGAACTATATGTTAAACTTAATAGAAAATTTTACATGTGTATATTGAACTGTAAAATAAAATTTGTTTTGGTTCAACACAATATTTTTTAGTTCAATTGCCAACTTAGTTGCAATTCTGAAATTAACATTAATTGCACTTATGTAGGTAGTAAATATATAGCTACCCTTAGGTTTATTGTTATATCGGGATTTTATTGAGGTAGTTGTATATGTTCCAACTTCCAACTATCTTATTTTGACCCTAATCCCAAATATTATGTATGGGATTTAGGAGAATATTGTTATGTTTGTACTCCTTGTGCTTGTGTTTTTTCTCAGTCTAAAGCATTGAGTACTTGAAAAAGGAATAAGATGATGCGCTGTTTTATATTATCTTATTATGTTTATTGATACTTTATTGTTGTGCAGTGATTTAACCATCTACATTGATGACTTCCTTTGGCTATTCTTTAGAAGTTGCTTTTTAGTTTGAGGAAGTCTGTTATTGATGGATTTTCTTGAGTAAGTTGTGGTGATAAGACTGCTTCAACTATGTTGAATATGTCATTTGAGCTATCCTAGGATCACAAGATTCGTATGTATTTAAACTCCTAACCAAAGAACTACTTGTTTGGGATTGAAATTTTTTGTTCAAGCTTGCATTGGCACAAACTTTGTATGATTTTTCAGATTGTGCTTTTTAAATTTTCATGCATAATATATATTAGAAATTCTATTTGAATGTAAAGTTAGTGCTATTCTAATTTCTTTTGGGTTTAATTATTCTTGTTCTTAATTCTTAATTTTCTACTTAAATGAATTTCATTCATATTGAATTAAAGCATACGAGTGCATCGTATTTATGCCTCGGTGGGAAATGATGTATGCCTACTTTGAACTGGTTGGTTTGTTTTTAGAACAATATTTTTTAGTTCACTTAACATGAATTGTCATTTGAGGTAAGGCTCACGATTAACCTATTAACACCTTTTGGGGGTTTTTTGGTTGTAGTTTTTACTTGGACTTAAGTAGGATTTCATTTAAACAATTATTAAATGGCTTTTTTGTCCTTTAAATCATGCCAGCCTTTGTTGTTCCATTATATCATTGTTTTGTTTTCTATAATGTATTTTTTAAATTCTGACGATTTGGGAGAATCATTGGCACTCTATACAAGATCTTCCAAGTATGCTTGCAAGTTTTAAACTGCTATCATCTTTATTAATTTAGAAAGAAATAATAATATGTGCTCATTGTTTGGAGGGTAAATTAGAGGCATCAACAAACTTCATCAAGGTGATTTTAAAAAAATTGAGAATTTTATGAAAATGCCAAGTTTAATTGTTTTCCCCATAATTGGAGTCACAGTATTATTTACTCAAGTACTTGTTAAATCATGAAAAAATCTCTTGGTAGTAAACCTCAAAGTATTGTGGGAAATCTTATGAGATCTCTTAATGTTATTGGGTGGTTCGATTTGGAAGCTTACCTTTTGACCTTGATTAGTGGCGGGTGACACCTTGTGTATTCCAGAACCCCAAGGGAGTTCATTAGGATCGAAGGACTTGGATCTTTTGTAAAGATTACCAAATCTTTTTTTTTTTAAATATTAAATTCAAGGGCTTATACTAAGAATGTGTGACTATGAAGGGGTAAAACTCGAATAACTATAAGTAATAAAAAAGCTATTACGAAGCTGAACATGCTACCATGCAAAAGGAAAGCAATTTCTTACAGAAGACTAATATTGGTACATCCAAAATTTAAAATAAAATGTTTTAGAAATTATCATAGAGCAAATGGCTAAAATTCAGACATCAATAGATCATATGAATGGCGAAGATCCTCTCACAAGTCATGCTGGGAATCACTGATAACTTGATTTTGATAATGAAGGGGAAATCCATATGCATATGAAGACCAACTTGCAATTCAACACACACTTTAACGGTGGATGCTAAGCTAGAATTGCCTACCCTTAGTGGCCAGTTGAGTGATGTTACTTACGAAGGTAGACAATTGGTTGAAAGTCTTAGAGATATATTATCTTTTTATGATTTATGATTATACTCCTTCTAGAGGATATCTTTTACTTGATTCGAAATGTCATCACATTTGTTGATGTGGTGTAATAGAGCCAAAACTATGACTTGTCATGTAAGACGTGAGCATAGTTTAAGAGACATTTGAAAGTTTTGTTGAATTCTATTGGATAGGAAGGAGAACAAATTGATGACTACAATTGAGATAACCTTTTCATTAAATATTGATATACATGAGAAAGCCAATCTTATGATGATCTCCTTGAAAAAGGAAGTTGGGTTGTTCAATCAAAACCTTGGTTTGAGTTTGCTGGTGTTCTTTCAATTTGATTCAACTCTCGTGTTAATTTTTTAGATTGATTGTTTTTTCCACATAAATGGGTAAACCTGAGTACTATAATACCCTTGGCTCTCCTTTCTAAGTCCTAAAAAGATCAATTTGCAACTTGGTTGTAATACCTCAAAAGAATTACGGAAAACCTTGAAGGATTTTTATTGCCTTTGGGAAGTCTATGTCTCAACCTCAATTGATAGTGAGTGATACACCATTATAAACTGCAATACTCAAGGAATATTGTCTGGATCAAGTGAAAGAAGTTGGTCACCAATCATATCTAAATAGTGTTATGGATCTCCCAGGGTACTATGGATTTTATTCTGTGTATATGTGAATTTATCGCTCTCTTGTTACTTTTTTTTCTCCTATGCTAGGAGAGGGAGCTGCTCACAAAGGTTGATCTTGCCATTGTAGTTGGATGAGGGGGTAAGTCAAAGTTGGTGTGCTAAGTTTTCGATGAGATTGAGGTTTATATGACTTGGGATTGCTATAGGTTGTGGCAGAGGAAAGAAGGGGTTACTTGATAATGGGCGATTTAGTATCTTCTCGGTTTGTTCATTTTCCTTGTATTTCTTCTACTCTTGGGTGACTGCAGTGATATGTGCTATTTTCTTTTGTTGTAGTGGATTAATTGATAATTAGTAATGGTTAAAATTCATGTTCACTGGGAATTAAGATAACCTTTCAAAATAAATTGCAATCATAAATTGATTTAAACAGTCATAAATTAAAAGAAGTGCCATAAAATTTATTAGCTAGTAAATTAATTTTAAATTACTTTATAAAAGATATTTATTGGGATGATAATAAATAAATAAATCTTATTATCTATCGATTAATGATTATTAATAATTAAAATGTATTAATAGAGTATTAATGTAATAATTGAGATTATTAAGATTGTAAGAGTTGCTAATATCTCCACACATCTTGTTAAGTTTTAATTTCTTAATCTTGAGAACAATATTCGAACCTTTTGTTAGGATTCAGCAAAATTTGATAGTTGTTACGCCATATTATTTTTTGGATTTTGCACTCAAGGATTTACTAAGTCTAGATTTTGTATTATCTATTAAGTCCTAGTTCTAATCGAACAGTCTTAATGAGTGTATTATATCAATGTTCCAAACAACTGGTTGGGATCCTGATCACATTCCTCATAGATGGGAATCGGGAAAAAGTCATTGCGCTAGCTTTCAATGCACTTGCATTTTCTTGTTCAAATTGTTGTTTTTCCTGTCTAAGGAGCTCAAATGATGACATGTTTTCTATTACTTCATGATGGTCACCTGAGGCATTTTAATCTTTGGCAGTCCGATAAACCTATATTTTTGGCTTCTTTTCGCAGAAAGGCCTTTGTGCTAGCATTCATTTCACCTGTGTTTTCTCGGTGCAAACTATTATTTTTTTGTCAAACGAACCCAGATGATAGCTGTTTTCTATTACCTCACGATGGCCTTCTGGGTGATTCAACAACCTATAGTTATTGCTTCTTTTGGCTGGAAGTTGCATTCCAATCATTTTTATTTATTTTTTTTAAAAGTTGCATTCCAATCCATGAAGAGCATGTTAGATGCTTTTTGTTAACTTACTGTTTTGTTGGATTTTTATTTTATATATATTTGTACATATAATTTGTAGTTTGAATGAAAACAGAGAGAATTTGATTATTTATGATTTGTAGAATTTTTAAGATTATTAGTTTATTGCTTGGACACCAAAGTTTTCAGTATGAATGGTTCTGATTGCATGATAAATTAATTGTGTTTTTAATGTTTAAAGAGTGTCAAATGGTTTGAAATTTAATGCCTGTTTTGTTGATGATATTCTGCATGTGTTGGATGATTTCAATTGGTAAAATATATGGGCAAACTTAAAATTTTAAATATATATTTGATACTGTCCGTCATCCTTGCAATCTTCATATACATGATGAATGGTTCAATCATAACTGAAATCGAGTAAACTCTATTCAAGTACTTTTTTTTATCACAACCAATGATGTGATCTTCACTTTGAATATTAAATAAGTGAAACAATGTTACGAGGAGAAATTGTTTTTCTCAGTCGTTTTGTCATCTCACAAGTGAAAAGGTTGGAGTAGCGCTCCAGTGGAATATAAGATTAGAGAGTCACCTTAGATGGTTTGGTTACATAAAACAGCAGCCTTTCGATGACCCGATTAGGAAAGTAGATGTATTAGATTTGGCTTATATAAAGAAAGGTAGAGTAGACGTAAAAGACTTGATTAGAAAATTTTAGAAATGGACTCTTTTTTAGATTTAAATGAGAATTTGTTCTTAACATGATATAATGAAGAAAAATGATTATGTAGCAACCCCACGTAGTAGGATAAAGGCTTAAAGTTGTTGTTGTATGTAGTTGTTTTGTCATCTCTCTCTCACATACACAATAGCTTTTCTGCATGCTGTTGGAGTTCACTGATTATTTATGGTGTATTGTTAAGCTGTGTGAGGGACCCTTTTTTTCTTAAATACGTGATAAATAAGTTCTGAGAATTGTTCTATGACCCAAACAAAAAAAAAAAACTACTGCATTAATCATTAAGGTGTTTTATGTGTCTAAATTCATAGAAAACAAGAGTATGCAATATCTTTATTTATGGAAATTTATAATAAATTAGATAAATTTCATAATCTTTTTTTATTCTGTGTTCTAATTCATACAGAAAATGTATGATAAAGCATATGTTTATTATGCAAATATATCTATTAAGTAAATCACATTTTTTTTTTTCGAATTTTTGTATATTGATAAATCTTGTTTCCTTTCTTTCGAAGTTTGTAATCTTTTTTGTGTTGATGCAGGGTGGTGCTGGTGGCAGGCCTGCTTTTGGCCGTGGTGGTGGTGGTTATGGAGCACCTGCATCATCTTCTCTGGACTAGGCAAGCTTGTTTTGTGCACATTCTCTTTTCCAAGTATTTGAAAGACCTGTTTTATTGGAAGAGTCATCTCACATTTCATGACATTTGAAGTTACTATTTTTAATACTATTATTTAGGTTTTGTCGTTTTAATTTTGATTTTATGGATTCTGTAGTTGTAAGAGTATCATTTCTATTTTTTGACCTTAATCCTTTTATGAGAACCAATGAATGGATGTTGTGATTTATGTCTCGTTTGGTAGCAGAACTCCTTTCATAAAATTTTGATGAGAAACAGTTGTTCCGAAGAGGCCTTTTACCAGCGGAGAAGCAAAAATAAAAGCTTTGGAAATCGGTAAGATGATGAGTGTTTAAAAAACACAGTTTTATGAAAAAGTAGGCTTCCAAGTAGCGATTGAAAGTATTTTTTATTAGGGTTCAAAGTTCTAACAATGCTAACATGATTTGAATGATTATGTGCATATTATTTTATTTTTTTCATGCATTTGATGCAGTGGTAGGTTTTAGTGTCCTATTGTGCTTCTACTCATTATGTGGTTTTTCATAATTATAGGGAAGTGGAAGTGTAAGGATCTAGTGGAGTGATGCTGAACCAAATTTAGATCTGGTTTAGGTATTCCTTTTATATTTATATTTGTATTTTTTTTAGTCATGAAATGGCTTTAATATAGGATGATTTAAAAGATATAATCATATATTAATGACTATTATAAATGATTCTTTTGGAAATAAAATGAAATATATGTATTGATGAAATGAAAATGAAAAATTGCTTTTGCTGTATTTATTATTTTATATAGATGATTATTAGTGGCTATGATCATTTATTAAAAGTTTCAATATTCTTATCACATCAATAGTTTGTGGAAGAACTGAATTCTAATCAGAGCCGTAAGAATTGATTGATATGGATAGTCTTAAGATCTGTTTTTTTTTTTTTTGCATTCATGATTAAATGCATATGTGAGATAATATTACAATCTGCTAGGAAAGGGTACTATACAAGTGTGCCAATGCATACAAATTATTTTTCATAAATTTAGTGGTGGAAAATTACTTTTTCATAAAAAATAGTTAAATTAAATTACTTTCCATATAATAATTTCATGATCAATTTTATAAAACATTGCAGCATTCCTAAATAACCCTAAATATAAGATGTTGATTTTTATTATTGCAAATTGGTTAATCCATTAAAAAAAAAAGAAAAAGATGTTGATTATAGCTAGGTGAGTGATCATGATTATTTTTTTTACTATTTTTTTATATGTACAAAATCTTATATCCTTTATTTTTTTTTTTATCAAGGCTTTCATTCGAGATAATTTTTTTATCAATATTTTTTTATTATTTTAAAAAAAATTAACTAAAAAGTTGCTATATAAAATAATAATAAAAAAATATCCCAAATGAAATTTAAATATGAGATATTCATTGAAGCTATTAAAGCGATCAAAATCACCCTCCCAACACTACTTGTAGCACATTATAAATTAAAAAAAAACCAGGCTTCTTAAACATTTTTATTATTAATGATAATTAATTGTGAAAAAAGTACAACCGCTCATCAAGTTTTTTATTATTATATAGTGTTGTTGATTACTTCTAATTAATAGCCTAATAACAAAAAAGGCAAAATAGTTAGCGAAAAATAAGATTAAACATGTTTAAATTATGCTCAGAGGCAAAAGCATAAAGAAAAAGTAATAATAAGCTGCACGAAATCGCGCCAGGTAGGGGTCGAACCTACGACTTTCTGCTTAGGAAACAGACGCTCTATCCACTGAGCTACAGGCGCCTTCATATTTTTATTTCTATAAATCCTTTTTTAAACTAAATTTAAATGTAGCTAAAACAAATCTTTAAATATAAAATTTATTGAGAGAAAATTAAACAATGAAAAAGTTGAGGCCATATGAGAGAATAAATACTTGAGAATAATACTCCAAAAATTATGATATTATTAAATCATGAACCACCTAATATACCACACTTTATGAGTCCGATCATGTATCTAATATAGTTATTTTCAAGTTAAGCAAATTATATCTTTGACCACTCTCACTTTGAAACTATATAAATAAATAAATTATATATATATAATCCACATCTATTTATAGAAGACACCTAACAAGCCTACTCTATGAGTAGATGGCTTGAGAATTTCTGAGTGAATGAAGAGAAGAAAGAACTAGAGAGTTAGAAAACATCTATAGAGAATTTATGAAAGCTATGAATCTTAAATTGATATAAATTCCTAAGAATCAATCAAAAGTTCACAAGTTGTTTCTCATAATTTTTTATGAAATTTTGAGAGCTACAAGAAATATTATACATAAAGAGAAAAAAATACAACGTTACACAGATTGCACTAGACACGTTTCCTCTTATGATTGGCTGAAGGAGGGTGAAGTCGGAAGGGTACAAATGAGTGGTACATGAGTCAGCTTAGTAGTGTCGAGTAGGCTAAGGCGGGTCTGTGGGGAAGTATTGAGATAAGGGGACCTGCGACCAATAGACTTGCTGATATTGCCGACAAGTTGTGTGAAATCAAAAATTAGCTGAGAGAAGAGAGACACGTGAGATGCTATTGTGGGAAGAAAGAAGATTTGAGTTTGATGATTAGGACACAAAGAATTGAGTCTCATAAGTAGGCGCCTTATAACTAAGCTTGGCAAACTTGTATGAGAATGATCACCCTGGGGGAGAGCAAGTGGTTGAGACAGTGATCTAAATACATGACAGGTGCCTAGTCATTAGCTGGATGAGGAGTCATCGATTCATCCTATGAAAGGGAAAGCTCCTTGTTAGGCCATGACTGGTTAGGTCTGTGGATCATATCAGGTAAGTTCTTCTACAATTTTCGGGCGAGTAACGCCTTTTGGATAGTTAGGCGAGTTTCTATTGTAAGTACCCCTTGAGGGTGAATTTTTCAATCATGACTCATCAGTACCTATGCTCGCATTATATATATATATATATATAAACCTTCTCATATTCCTATAAGATAACTTTAATGAGCAAGATTAAAATCTAAAAATCATTCATCATGAAAAAGTGAAAAATGAATAAATGAAATGATCAAGAAACGAGATAATTATAATAGTACACCAAACTACTTAAATTTAACGAGTAATAGAGCAATTAAAGTGACTTTGAATGTGGAATGCTAATCAAACCAATGATCTCTACAATGCCAAATGGTTTGTGGATTGATTGGTCAAGTATTGTATGCTGATCCTCGGTTGTTCTTCACACATTATACTCTTGCACTTGGCTAGAAATACTCATCTCATTTTTATCATACAACAATAACAAGCCTTACTCCCACTACATAAATATTTTTTCTTTATGAGTCAAATTTTTATTTAAATCTAATAAAAAATATCATTTATAATACTTTCAAATTAAGTTTTTTTAAATCTATCTCTACCTTATTAACAAAGGTCAAACATAACACATCTACTCTACTGACCAGGTAATCTACTGACCAGGTAATCGAAAGGCTAACACTTTATATGACCAAAACATTTGAGGCGACTCTCTAATATTATTTGTCACTGGAGCTCCTCCAACATTCATGAATGTACTAGTTTCTCATTCTGTCTCTTTGAATGTAAAGTCACTCATCCACCTAAGCATACTCGCCTTTGCATTAATTAATTTTATGCTTCTCCTTTTATCATAGCAAGAGCAAATGTTAATTAAATATTTTTTTTTAACTTGTCTACTTAGATTAGTTTGGTTTGCAACTCAAGTAACTTTACCTTTAAATTATATATATATATATATATAAGCCTCTGCCATGCCAAATTTATTAAAATTTAGTTATTTAATAAATAACTAAAATTTGAGGCATCTCAATTTCTTCAAAGTTCAGGGGTAGAAGTTAATTCTTTATTTTTTGGTAAGAACATGGAATTCATCAGCAAGGTGGAAATTATCTGTTGGAACATCTGATAGTCTTTTAGATCCTAAAGAAAAAAATACTGCACAAGCAACAAAAGTAGCACGCTTGGGTCCTATTCCAAGTATTTGCAGAAATCTTACTCAATTAACACATTATTTGATAGAATGAATTTTGAGCTCTTTAAACAATATAATAGAACTATATTGGTAAAATTATTCTGTGCGGATACGGACGTGTCTAGAGGCAAATCAAAACGGGCCACGTCACTTTTTTGTTGCGTACCAGGTGACATGGAAAATACTGATTCGCCTCCGGACAATTCGTTATCCGCACAAAATAATTTATCACTACATTGATATGAACTTTCTACACTTCTATCATTCTACATTTAACCATGGAAGTTTTTAGGGAGCCCTGATTATGACTTCTAAGATTCTTTTAGGTGGTACCTGAGGCTGCCTAATATGATTCAGTATCAGAAGGATCAGAATGTCTCTCACCAGATTCAAAGTTCCTGCGGTTCTCGACGACAGCTTGTACTCTCTGGTTGAACTCTTCATCAGAGCTAGCCAACATGTAGCGCAGCTTGAAATTAACATGATTTTTCACAAGAATCTCATGCCTTGGTATAATTCTTCCATCCAACGAATAACTGAAGAACCTGCAGATACTTACTCATGTTTAGGGTTTACGAGGGTTTTTTTGGGGAAAAAAAGGTTGAAGAACAACATTCAAATATATTTGAGATTTGGTGGCAATCCAAAAGGCTAATGATTTGGAAGAAGGAGAGTTGGCGCATAATTAATAGCTTTCTGAGACACCAAAGGTATCGACAATGCATGCCAAAAGAACAACAATAAGCATCGACATCTATTGGCGGATCCAGGCCCCCCCCACTGGCTCCAACTTGCCCAATCGAATTATCTGATAATACGACACAAACTGTCTTTTTTACCTCTTCGTTTAGGGTATTAAGTTTCAAAAAATTAAAATCTATAGCGATAATAAAGAGTTTGTAGATGGAGAAAGTACAATGATTGAAGAATTTCTCAAATTTTTATTCTTATTATTAAAAAAGGGTATATATATCCCACTAAAGTTAATTTATACTTGTTGCCAAACAGCCCCTTAGTTGAGAGAGATTATTGGATTCGAACACCGGACACAGCTTACCATTCGGTACTTCACAGTACCGAGTAATACTGAACTCGGTACTTCACAGTACCAAGCAATATTGAGCAGTACCGAGCTAAGTATTGCTTGGTAATGTGAAGTACCGAGCTCATACAAAGCTCAGTACCGAGTAGGAGGTGATGTGGCGCATTTTCATTGGGCTCCGGACGTCGTCCGGTGTCCGAACCCAATATTTTCTGCTTAGTTGAACTTAAGGTAATGAACTTGAAAAATTCTGAGCAGCAGACCCCATTTCTAATAGTATAGTATTCATCTTGGTGCTTTTATAGAGAGATACCTTGGGAACTCAATGAGATCTTGTAAAGGTCGAACCATAATTCGTCTTAGATACTGGTATTTGGGGCGAATGACATCCAAATTGTATCTTGGAAGCATTGGAAAGTCCGCTATCATCTCCCCAATTGTATGCAGACGAATTCCCAATGACAGTAAGTACTTGACATTGACATCCAGTTTATTTATGATACTGCAGCCCACAAGCTGAGGATCAGAGGCAATCACCTTAGCAATATTTTCTTGGGTTACCCCAGCTTTTGTCAACAAGAAAATGACCTGTATACATCATTATAAACAAGTGAGACACAAATAAAACAAGCAAGCATCTTATTCATATCAAGCTGTACCAAAACAGCCCATTCCACTCCAAGAACCCAAGGCCGAACAACACTTTGCTTCACTATTTTTTTGGAGAAGTAGTGTAAGGTGATATAAAATCATTTGATGCTGAATAGAATGAAGAAGGTAGATCTTAGACTTCAAAGCTCATTTCCAAATAATCAAGGTGCAATGAATGAGCATAGTGTAGTAGGGCTAGTGATTTCAGATAGTAAGATTTTTCCTTTCTAGATAATGTTTGTTACCCTGAAATTGTCTTGACTCTTGCTTGACACATAAATCAAATTGGGAACAATGACGTAAAAAATATTTTACAATGTTTCAATTTTGGAATCTAGTGCAAATAACAAGGAATATAGGGACTTTCTTTCACTCAACTCAAAGTCTGCGTAATGGATTTATTATGATGTAAGCAGAGTTTGAACCCAAGTTGGCTACAACTTTCATAGCCCTTACAAATCGTAATAGCTGACAACCACTAATAATAAAGAATGTAGTAGTTCAGTTATTAATTTCAGTGACTGACTTGCCACATATCTATCTATTTTAGATTAGTTTTTTGGGATCTAATTGGTCGATTCAAACTTATTAATTGTAAATCCATCCATTCTTTTGTGCAAGGAGCTGCATTTTGCGTTGCTATATATTAGTTAAGTCACTCGACAAACCTAAGGTTTCATTTGGGATAGCTTTTGTACTGCTTTCTAAAAAGATTTTCTAATACAAAAATTTTAAATTCAAGAAGTTTTTATATTAGAAAGTAGGAGGCTGTTTTAAGAAGCAAGAAATAGCCGTTTGGAACGAAGCCTAAGTTAATAAGCCTACCATCTCTTCTTCCTAGCCCTTTCACAATAAATCAATACATTCCATGTGTTTCCTCATCTCTTTTACCAGCACATCTATGGTATTTTTCTTGATAGTTTTTATGATAAAATAGCAAACCAACATTTCATTTGTGGTAGTGTCTATATACTTGGCATCTCCACCATTATCTCGACAAAATACTTGATATTACTACTTGTGGCTCCAGATCATTTTCATCTTGCTGATAGCCCTTGATATCTAGTTTTGACTGCTCAGCCACATAAAACACGTCATCAAAGCTTGAATAGTCAGCCTCATCAAGCATGACAGAGGACAAAATGCACATAGAATTTTTTTTTGAGAAACTAGACTGTTTTTAATGCGTAAGTTTAAAAAAAAGAGGCCAACGTAACAGTGTAAGCAACTAAAGAAGGCAATTTTTATAACATGGAAAAGTGCTATCCAAGGCGTACTTAGTACAAGAAGATTTAAGTTCTGTAATTGAATCAGAGAAGTTTATACACATGATGACAAGAAATTGAGAATCACCAATATGAAGGTGAGGCTGCCATTGCTGTATCTTCTCTGGAAATGAGTAGGTGAGGGAACAAATCTAATGGGATGCACAATGAGTCCAGTTGAAGAATATCAGATCATTTAAATGAATCAATTATGAAGTTATATCACACAGTAATAGTCAGGGAAAACTTATTTCGTGAATGAATAAACTTTAAAAGAAATTCTAAACCCGCTTTCTTTATTCATAAAGCAAAACCTTAACATTAACATGGAAAACTCACCCACAGTTTTAAGTTATTCAGGATGAATATTGGATAAATTGAATCCGCTTAACATTTTTGAAAACGTACGTTGTATGTGAAAAACAATATTGGGAGATGATAGGATCAATAGTCCTATCGTAAAGCCTTGGCTGATCCAAAATCCATACAAATCATCACTAGAATTGATAAGACCAATATGAGTGCGAAATAGATTTAGAAGATGAGCAACATTTTATAAATACTAAACTGGATGCTTGTCCACCGAGTGCATGTACCTTGAAATTTTTTTGATTAATTAATTAATCATCCCTTTTTTTTGCTTTTTTGTGATATTGTTCCATCTTAAACTGATACATGCAATGGGATGATGCATTACATAAATTCAAGTATAGTTAGCTATATCAATTGGCCCCCAGTGCACACACCAAAGAGAGGGGAAGTGGAATTGGGTGTTTTATAAAATAATTTTATACAATAAAATATCTTATGGTTAAAGTAAATTAAAGTGCAACGCAAAAATTTAAATATCAACATACCCAATTAGAGCAGTTTTGCATAAATCTGACGAATGAAAAATTACCACACTTCAATGAGTTTTGAACAATGTATTTGTTGTACTTAATTGTTTCATTATTTGATGTTCGCGTCTCACGATGGTTCACCACCCACATCTAATGTTTGACCCTTTGGTTAGCTTATTGTTGGAATCAACTTATTCTCCTTCCATAAACATCACCGGGTGATGATAGATTAGAGAGTATCTATGGCATTTATGCTGCTTGATTTTTTTTTTTTTTAGTTAGTGGATCCCTTGATGTAACCGACAATTGCAATTGATAGTCCTTTATTCATTGGACAATACTTTTTTACGACCATAAAAAAATTACTCTGAAAAAACTATTATTATTATTATTGATCTAGTCAAATATAACTTATGTAAACTTTCAGCGCTTAAAATGCCAAGTATTCAAACAAAAAACTTTCATAATAAACTTCAAGATTTTATGTACTCTATTTTTGACAATTTTATAATGGAAATGAGTGTCTAAATAAGACAAACCCAAACAATACTAAGAACACCTAGATCTAAGTATGAAACAGCCTTGATCAAGAACTCAAAAATATACTTGGAAACTTTTCAAAACTATTTAGATAATCAAATGCCCATCTTGCATGCTTGTAATTGAAATGAGTCTTAACGTGATGAATCAAATGAGCCCAATATCACTCAATTCTATTATTAGTGAGGCACTAAGATGTCTTGAGAAAACCTCAAATGATTAATGGAATCTACACCTCAGAAATATAGTTGGAAACTTCTCAAGACTATTTAGATAATCAAACGCCCTTCATCTTGCATCTTTGTATTTAAAACGAGAGTCTCAGTGTGACGAATCCAATGAACCCAATATCACTCAATTCTATATATAAAGAAACTAAGATGTTTTAAGAAACCTCAAATGATCAAAGGGAATAAACTTCGATCATTCGATAAAGCATATAAAAAATAACCCCGATATCCCCTCAGAAAATCTATAACCATTTTATGATTCTACACATATAGGAGGGCTTAAGGAAACTCCTGAGAGCATTCTAGAGGAGAAATTATGGGAGTTAGAGAGTTTAAAAGCTTTTCCAAACAATATCAATGCCCGTCATCACAACTAAAGTTGATGCATGCCATTGTCTCCAAAACTCACACTCATTGTCGCCAAGAATGTTTGTATCAACGATTGTCACTAATGATGAGGACCACGATTGGCAGTTTGGCACCATTGTCAATGCCCACCATCACCACCAATGCTGACACCAACTCGACCTGCAAGGTTGATGCATGCTATTGCCACCAACATCGATGTCCAATGTAACCTACAAATTGGATGCTAGTTGTCACCAAAAATCTCGACACTTACCGTTCCCAAGGAGGTTAACGTCTGCCATTGCCAAAAAGTTTGGAACCACTTGCCATCGCCAATAAGGCATTGCCCATCGTAGCTAACAACACACACACCCGTCTTGGCCAACAATGTCAAGTCCATCATGTCCAACAACATCAAATAACATCATTCTTAACAAGAGCTACACACACTATTGCCAAAAGACCTATGCCCCCATCACCTACAATGTTGGTGCTTATTGTCACAAACAAGATTGATGCATGCCATCACCAACAACGTCAACGCTCGTTGTCACCAATAATGTCTAACGGTGTTAACCACCCTATGACACCTACCATCCTAATCATTTGTCTCACATCATTTAAGGAGAACAACTAAGAAAACCACCTACTTATGATAATTTTGACACCTTGGTGCTTCTCCTACCACTATGATAGTAGGCGCGTCCTGTAATTCATATATACTACACATATCAATGCTTTATCAAATTATAAGGAAATATGACCTCTATAATATTTGACTTACAATAATGAAATCTTTTCAACAAGACTAACCCTGTGATTTTTTCCCCTTGGAAGTATCATAAAAAAAAAAAAAAAAACCTTAACTTCCAATGAGTTAGTCATAACATATTTGTATGTGTGCAAAATTTTCATTCATCATTAAGACAATAAATTTTATCTGCTATTGTGATTGTTCCAACACAACTATTTGATGTTGTGCATGGGAAACAAGTTAATAATGAGGGGGAAACCCTTATTATAGCCTCAAAAAGACGTTCAGTCCTACGCATGGTTATAGTTAGGCATTAGGCAACCTCTTTCTTCTATAATTCACTGGTATATTAGTTCTTTAATGCAGGAGGCAACCCTAGCTATAGCCTCAAAAGAATGTTCAAATTAATATATAAAACACAGTAATAGTTGGGCAACTCTCCACCATCTTCTTATGTGTCAAGGGCAACCCAACAAGAAATCAATCTTCATATGCATTAATGAAAATTTTTAAAAATAAACTTTCAAGTAAATCTCAACTCTACATATATTCCTTAGTTGATCTCATAATTCTTAAGCATAGTCAGCCATTACTTCAAGAAGGCAATCATAGTCTAAAAACAAATCATTTTCATCCTTTCTTGGGAAACACGTGACAACTATCACAATCCTAATCATAGTGCCATCAATCCTACGAGAATTCAATTTGAACTCTTCCAGCATAAGTTAAACTCATTAAATAATACTTTTATGAATAACCGAGGATTAGGATTTAGGTAAAAAACCTGGGTGGATTTTTTTTTGGCTTTTCCCGCTATAGGTTAAGTTTAAAGGGTGACACCCTCTGTTGACAACCTACCCTACATTTAATTTCTTAAGAAATTTTTTACAACCCTCTTTTTCACCGGCCATAGTTGATAGTTCAGATAGCTAAGGTAAATTACAAGAAAACCTAGAAGTCATGCTAGTGAGAAAGCTTCAACGAGAACCCAGCATTGGATAGGGTCATCAGAATTCAGAAGAAAGTTCTCATGATAACTAGTGATATAGAGTCTCCAATTAAAATCCTTAGAAGGCATGCTTATAGAAGCCTCGAATGGTAGCTAGTGTTGTATAATGTTTTCACTAGAAACTCTCCATAAAAGCAAGTAGTAGGCATTATCTCCACCCATCTAAATACTATAATGCATAAGCCTCCGAAAGTATAACATTTTCACTTATTTAAAAACATCTAAATACTATAATGCATAAGCCTATGAAAGTATGACATTTTCACTTATTTAAAAATCTCAAAGATACATGTTCTCATCTTATTTAGAGATACAAGAAAGATATACTAATTCAAAAATTTGAAAGGCATCAAATGATGAAGAATGTCCTAATTAAAGTTCATTTATGATAAAATATTTAACAAAAACAACAACAAGCATTTATCCCACTAAGTGGGGTCAGCTATACGAATCCTTTTTCACTATTTTGTCTAATTAAGAGTCAAATTCTCATTTAAATTTAATAAAAATGTCATTTCTAATACTTTCAACCCAAATATTTTAAGGTTTACCACTACCTTTCTTAACATAGGCATGATCTAATACATCTACTCTCCTAACTAGGTCATCGAAAGACCAATGTTTTATGCGACAAAACCATCTAAGGCGTCTATAATATCACTGCAACTGGAGCTACTGCAACATTTTCACGTATATACTTGTTTCACATTATGTTTATAAGTGTAAAACCCATCATCCACCTAAGCATCCTCATCTCTGCAATACTTAATTTTATGCTTCTCTTTTAATGGACAACATCATGTGCCATAAAACATTGCAAGTCTCACCACCAACTTATAGATTTTTTTTTTTTTTAAATTTGAGGGGTACTTTCTATTACACATCAGGCCTAATGCATTCCTTCAGTTCAACCATACAACTTGAATTCTCCTAATAATATTCTCATCTATTTCACCATCGCTTTGAACAATAGTCTCAAAATACCTAAAACATGTACTCTTTTTAATGACTTGATTGCCTAAAGTCACAATTCCCCCATTAGATCTATTACTATTAAAATTACGGTCCTTGTATTTGGTTTATATCTACTCAAGTGAAAACCTTTAGACTCTAAGGGAGTAAAAATTATCTAACTCGTCAATCAATAGATCAAATTTTCTTTGTTTCATCTAAACAACAATACCTCCTTGCTACTAGTTTAAGGATCAAATTCCAACAAATTAGGATTCTATCATTGTAGCGAAGTCTGACAATTTTGTCTCAAAGATTGTGTACATGATATGCACATTTTCATGAATTTGGAATTGATAAGTATCAATTAAGAGTATTGAAAATGAAGTGATACTTAGAACATGTTTAAGTTGGATTCATCATACAAAAGAATAGGAAAATAAATGAAGTCCCAACTTCTAAAATAAAAAGTGACTGGTTAAAATAAAGAAGCATCTCATAAGTATTGCATAAGTTAGAAAATCATAAAAATAACAACAAGATTGACTATATGCATCTATGCTGGCCCATATCATTTGCATGCAAGTTAATTCTGAAAAAATTGATGTTACAAGGTGTATATGATAAAACTAAGAAACATCTTACGAAGAAATAATTATGTTGAATTTAAGGTGATGCACCAATTTAATTAAGATAATGAAACACAGGTGAGTTGGGACATGTATATTGAAGGCAAATGATGCACCAGTAATGCAAGTAGATAATATTAATGTGAAATATTTGGGAAGGAAAAATGGAAGATTAAACCTAATATGAATAAAGTGCAAAAAGACTTGGAGGATAAGTTTATAAGTTTATTGTTGATGATGAAGAGACAAGAAAAGTGAGAGGACACAATACAAAATACAAAATGAGATAACGAGCTTAAAAGCAGCAGACCTATAGAAGAATCTATCAATATGAAACGCGGTCATGAGTTAAAAAGCTTAGAGAATACTAAAATTAGTCATCAATGTAATGCCCATGCTATGAGATGGCAAAGCAGGTTGAGATAGTTACAGGATACTTATACTGTAACTTTACACTATAAATTATCCGTTCAGTATTAACAGTGCAAGCTATCTGATAGTAACAAAATTCATGTAACCAATCATAGCAAGAAAAAGAAGTTAATAGCACTACATATTTCGTGCTTGGTGCATCAAAAATATCAAAATTGCTACTAATATATTTGTACAAACCACTGGCCGAATTTTCTTGTAAAGGCTATATGTTAACAATGGCGGGAATCTTGCTATAACACTTCCAATATCTTCTTGTCTAACACCTATATCCTGCAAAAACCGAACCTGGAAAACAAAATTAACAGCATTTGTAAGCTCATACTATTCAATACTTAACAAATAAAAACTTAAGAGGTCTCCTTGTATGCAGGAAAAAAACTATTGTAAAAATAGAACGAGTAAAATAAAAAATTGGGCGTTTAATTTGCAATTAAGTGAGTTTAAAGAAGGTTCATGTGTATATAGAGTCTGCTAACGCCCTCTTTTCCAACAGGCGATTTGGAAGCATAGATTTTACATCACATGGTCAAGGGTAAGAATGAATTTAGGATACAAGTACTATTACAGTTTTAAGTTTCATTAAACCAAACATATAATGGGATACAAATCCATGCAATCAAACCTAGAAGTGCTATGTAGTTGGATGCTCTAGAATGTAGCAAGATGAAGGAAAGGAAGTCTTTTCACATTCGAAAATGCAGGTTGCATTCATTGTTTTAGTAATTTACAAAGCTAACACTTGAGTGTTTTCTACAACAAGACAAACCTTTGGTGCAATAGTTCTCTCCAAATCAACACAAAAGATTACTGGCTTTGCCATAAGTATTCTCTTCATACCATCGCGGCGCACACCAAGGTAATACAGGTATTTCACAAGAGGTTTCCACCGTTCTTCAATGCTACAACCCATGAGTTGTGGTTTGTAAGCTAACAGCCGTCCCACTTCTTCAGTGCTCAAGCCGAACTCCTTGAGATAATTGACCTACTATGGCAAAGTAAGGTTTTTAGAAACAATGCAACTTGTAGAATATTAACTAAATCTATGATACAGGAACACTAACACAGATGATAATTTGAAAATACAAGCTATCAAGGAAAATTAAATCAGAATATATAATTTAACATGTGACATATCTCTGGAACATGCAATCTCTTGTCAGCAATTCCAGAGGATTTCATGTAAAAGCTCAACAGTGAAGTCATCTTACAAGAAAATCTAAAAGACACAAGAAATGCTAGCTAAAACCTTGTACTTCATTGAAATGCAATATAGAAAGCAAATTTTTCAAAAGCCTCTTCATCATCAGCCTTATCCCAAATATTAATTCTTATTGTCCATTCATTCCTACCAAGTGTTGCATTAAGTTTTTAACTCTATTTTGAACAAATCTTTTTGCACAATTTCTAACCAAGTTACCAAATATCTATCCATTTTCCTTTTTAATCTTTTCATATTAATTTTACTTTAATGTCCAATTGGTGAATTTTCTCGACTTCAGTGTACATGTATAAACTATTGCACAAACTTATGGATCTATTTTCTATTAGCTTATCTTTAAAAAATGCTACTTTCACTGTCCCTCTAAAATAACTTTCCAAATGCCACCACTATACATTTTAAACGAGGCTTTGCAAAAATTGATAGAAGGAACTCATAGTCCAATTTTTGATATATTATGGAGTATACTATTTCATGAACAGAATAACGGACAGCAAACAACATAATTACAGTTATTAAAATCCAACACTCATTAAATTAGAACCTACCCCCGCCCACCCCACCCCCCCCAACACACACACACACACACAAAAGAAGCTTAGAACACCTTTTACATTTGTTGGGTGTGATGCACAACTGTAATTCCTCAAGTAGCTGATGTCCATCTTATAGAATAGTAAAGATGCAGCTGCATGTAATACAAAGTGGAAAATCATCATCAAATGTAAAATAATGTAAAATAAAATTTTTCGAAACCGCTTCATGCTTCCTCAAAGGCTAGCAGACTGAAAGAAAGTAAATCCAACAGAGAAGACACAGAAAACCTCTTACAAAAAGAATAATTAAGAGCTCCAATAAATGTCAATTAAAAATCAACAAAAGGTAAACACCTTACTATGCATCTCTTCCAAGCTGAAGAAACCAAGCGCCTTGGGATAATCATAGACCATTGTACCAAAGTCCTTCTCATCCATGCCCATGTGCATATAGAACTTTACACGAAACTCTATTTCAGACATGCTTAAAGTTAGCACTCTTGGACATCTGCTTAAAACAAAACCCATCCATTCTCTCTTCACCCCCTTCTCTGCTAGATAATCAACAATTTCCACCAGCATTTCCAACTTATACTCCAAAATAGAACTTGCTTTCACAAGTACATACCCAAGATACTTTCCCTTCACATGTATCGTCTTTAACCACTCAGCTAGTCTCCTCACTGGCTCAAGATTACTAGAACACAAACATATCAACTTACCAATCTGGGGGTACGTTAACGAATTATGTTTCAACCACCTAGAACGACAAAAATAAAAATAAAAATTTTAACCAAAAACTAAGAAAACAAATATAATGGAAAATGAAAATTAATCTACTTGACAAGTTCAACCACGCCGGATCCCTGTATGTATCTCTTCGCTCGAGCGTTGAATGAGAGGTGAGAGAACTCTGGCACCACCTTCATTTCAGCCGCCTCAATCACAACTCGATCGACAAAATTTGGCAAGCAGGAGACTATTTTAGCCGAGTAAGGTTTACTGAGCCTTCCGGCACTGAGTGCCACCTTTAAAACCTCAGCGGCAACCCCTCGTCGGATCTCGAGCGCTTGTTTGAAGGCCTGGTCATCGCTGGTAAGAACCGCGACCGCATCTTCCTTAGGAAAACTGATTGAACCAGGAAACCTAGGCTTTCTCTTAGTGGCGAGGGAGGCCTCTTCGATGATCTTCCGTCGTTGGAGGTTTTCCCCGTCTGCTTCGTCATGCAAAGAGGGTACATATATCTTTTCTTGCTGTTCGTTGAGGCAGAGGAGCGCGGTAGACCGGGCATTCTGCCGCCGGGATAGGCGAGTTTGTTCGAATTCATCGATCAAGCCGGCGAATTCTTGTGGTTGTGAAGAAGAGGGCGCCGGCGACGGGGAAACTTGAAGGGGTGAGATGAGGTGGAGGTGGAGGGATGATGAGGAAGCGAGATGAAAGCTTGCTAAAGATAAAGAGGGGATAGGGTTCGGGTTTGGGCGGAGACCGCCATGGCATTGAGCAGGCGAGCAGCTCCCCGCACTGGAGCGGCACAGCATCGGATAATTTGGTACGCCAACCTGTCTTTGGGGTTTTAAGTATATACTGTTAAGTTGTGTTATTATATAAAATAGGTGTTAATTTAATTAACTTGTGCCAAAATTATTAATTTATAATCGAAATTATTCTAATATTTAAAACTATTTTATAAAAATATTATAATAATTAATTAGTTAATTAATAAGATAGAAATACTAAAGTTTTTGTTAGGGGGGCACGTGCCCCCCCCCCCGCCCATGGTTACATGTGAGAAAAATTGAAGAAGAGAAGAAATTACATTCATAGGAAAAGTGTATACTAACATACACAAACAAACCTACCGAAGATCAGTAATACAAAACCGTGATCTCAAAAGGAATAGGATGGGCTCAGTAAAATGATTTGCCAAAGGGACATTTCCCCTGCTTGCAATAGAAATCGTTGTCCAGAGTGCACCAAAAGTATTACCATCCAAGGGGAGCAAAATGCAATTCTGACATCATTGCCCGGCAAAAAACGGTACCCACCAGCCAATCAGTTAAGAGGAAGACAGCAATCTGATCTGATTCTGACAAAAGAGGGCCAACCGCAAACTAAACAAACAGTTTTGCATAAAATCATTACAGCAAATCAAACAGACTCATGGTTTTTCCATTTTGTGATTTTGATGAAAACAGATCTTTTAATCAAGTGGAAATCGTGGTAGAAGAGACAAGAGTGTTCCCAAAATTTCGTTCATTTCTTTCTTTCCAGAGCATATAAACTGAACATCAAACCATTAATTTATAGAATGGCCGGATTTTAACATGCATCCCATCAATGCTATCAAAAACCTGGAGGATATTATGCCTTAGCAGGTGGTTCCTTAGTTGAGGGATCAGCTTAGTAATGACAGTAAAGGAATAATCACATTCGTAAAAAAGGTGAGATGTAGTTTCAACACAGTTCCTACCTAACACAATGCGGATTTACAGAAATTCCCCTCTTAATCAAATTGTTCGCAGTTTTAAGACCATTTATAAGAGCCATCCAACTGTAAGTGGAAAATCATAATGCATAGCGTTTATGCCAAACCGAGTGATGCCAACTTACTGCATTGAGGTGTTTATAAAAGTAAGATGAAATTTTTTTAAAACCAATAGCTTGACCATCATCCCAATAAATGCAAGTCAAGTTGTTTATAGGAATACTATTTAGAGTATCCAGCAAACTGACAGATTGATCCAACGGCACACTCCAGCCATTAGGCTGGAGAATGACACCGATTCTAGCATTAAGAGGGAACCGATCACACAGAGAAACCAACCCAGAACATTCTTCAGCTTTTTCCCCGCAACCCAATGATCCCAAAAAAGGGAAATAGGGGAGTTGTGAAAGACATTAAAACCAAACATTTCTTTAGCCCAAACCGCATGCTTACACAGAGATTTCCAGAAAGAGGTAACTTTTGTACGAGGAGGTTTTCACGGTGAAGAATATCTATAGAAGAGCCATTTGGAGAGAAGATTGTTGTTGTTATACAATCTAATAATCAGCGCACAATTACAGCTAAATTGAAGAGCATGTAAAGAGGGGAGACCAAGTCCACCATGAGCTTTGGGTTTGCAGGCATTATTCCAAGAAATCATGTGCAATTTCTTAAGATTCATGTCTCCAAAATAAAAGAACTTGGCACAGTGCTTATCAATTTGCTCAATAATAGTTTTCGGTATGATAGAATCATGAATCCAATAAGTAATAGTATTCCAGATAGTAAACCTAAGATATTGCAATCTGCCAGCGAAAGATAAAGTTTTTGCTTTCCACCCAGAAAGCTTATGAATGATCACCTCCATAAGACCAGCAAAATTTACAAGTTTAAGATTATAGAGGGAAATGGGAATACCCAGTAAGTAATGCAATTAGAAGAGGATGGGATATTCAGAGTGTTATAGATAGCCTCAGCATTGGGACAGTTTTGAGGTAGTATGAATCTCTCCAGTTCTCCATCTTTAAGAATTTTTTTGAACAACTTTTGTCAACTATTTTGCTATTTTTTGAAAAATAAAGTACCAGACGAACCCTTATTGGCTTTGGGAGTTTGGACTATTCTACGTTATCATAGATTTCATACACAGATACAAGTACTTTTCCTCAGAAACAAAGGCAAAAAATAACATTAATAACAATAAATAATAAACAAGAATCTTGACAACCAGTTATAATAAAAAGATATCCATGGAAATAAATAGATAGCTCAGCATTGCAAAAGTACCCGTAAGACAATAAGCAAATCTTATTAAATAGAATAAAAAATGAACAGAAAGAACTACAGAGTTAATAAACAAGCACTGAAAATTGCTTTCTGGAGGTGAATTTGGAAGTTTAATCATGAGCAGTTGGCAGAGCAAACACTCGGAAGGAAAAACCATGGAGAGGTTCTGAAGAACAACCCCGAGCGTTCGGTACACAGAGACTCCATTCACCAGAGCAAGTCTGAATAAACAAAACATCAACTAAAGTTCATTTTCAGGTATAAAGAGATATATTTGATGACAATAAAATTTTGAAAAGATTAAAAACAAAACATTAATTACAAATGCAAAGAGCAAAAATGATTGCATGCTCATTAATTCACAGGCAACTATCAGGTCATGACAAGGATATTTTCCTTCAGGAGGGGTCCTTTTAGGAATTAGCCCAAAACTTGCGAAGGAACCCGCTCGAGGGAATCAACAGGCTCAACTCACTAGGCCTAGTAAATTGCTTTTCATGAGTGAATGAGGGATCTCTTGTTAAACCATCACTAGCCGCTACCTCTCTCATTAGCTCTCCCCCAGAGCATTCCAATACTTCCAACTTAGGAACAAAAAAGTATCCATTGAAATTGCATCAAATACAAGCTATAATCATCCGGCCTGAAGCTCTTCATTCCCACAACATCTCACTCGCCTTCCTCCTTAAAGGCTGTCCAAAATCTCCAACACCAAACAAAAATCACGCCCGATCATTCACGTGGGATCATTTGCATACTCACCTGAAGCCTATTCACCACCACCAACCTCGCCCACAAAAAGCTCGCCACCATCAACCTCACTCATAGAGAGTTCGTTCTTTGACTTCTTTCTCCTCCACCTATCAGGAGATGACACGTGTTAGATTAGTGAGTAGCATTACGCAGGTATTATGTATAGCTCGTATTTTCTTGACTTTTTTACTATATTATATTGTCACAACCCAACCCGATCATGACAGGTTCTACTGTGTTGAGCTGTGACAGAAAAATCCAAGATCTAATATTGGAATTTTTAGATTCTCTTCCAATATTCATTTTAAATAAACTAAATACTACAGAACTACTACAACATCCAAATACTGAAAATAAACTCATCCAACAATATTTTTTCATTTCATCAACATGTATCTACACTACAGTACATAACTACATGTAAAAGCTACAAAACTAAATAATAAACTAGCTATGACTATTCAAAAATTAAAACAATGAAATACATATAACCTCAGATCTAATCTGGAAATGCTAATCAACAGTTTCTTTCCCCTTCCTAGATCCTAATAACCAGAAAAAAACAACAGTGAGCTATAACAACTCAGTAGGTCATACAATTCGATCTAAATTTTCAAATTCTTTTATTAAATATTTTGATGAATATTTAAAAGCAGTTAAATGTTGTCTAATAAATCACTGCACTGAAATGTAATAAAAGCATAATAGTTATTTAATTATTTAAATAACAATACTGAATAGATATATAATGATTCATGAAATAATTTTTTAAATGTTCTAGGTTAAAAAAAATTTCTTAAAAAAAATTAAGGGTTTTCACCTGTTTTTCCTGCAACTCTCAGAACCCTATAAATAAAAGGTGCGAGGAACAATTGGAAGAACCTTTTGGCTCTTGAACCTTAAAGTTTTTTTTTTTTAATAGTGGATACTCAACTAGAGAGACAAGATACGAAATGAGTATATACGTGAAAAGGTTGGAGTAGCTCCATTGGATGATAAGATTAGAGAGAGTTGCCTTAGATGGTTTCGTCATATAAAATGGCGACCTTCCGATGACCCAGTTAGGAGAGTAAATGTATTGGATTTAACCTATGTTAAGAAATGTAGAGGTAGACCTAAAAAGACTTGGATAGAAAATATTAGAAACGACCTTTTTATATTAGATCTAGATGAGAATTTGACTCTTAACTAGACACAATGGAGAAAAATGATTCATGTAGCTGACCCCACGTAGTGCGATAAAGGCTTGATGTTGTTGTTGTAGTGGATACTCAGCTAGCCTCAAACCTCTACTCTCTCTCTCTTTCTCCGCACTCTTCATTCTAACTCATAGGTTTCAGCTCATCAGGTTAACCTACTAGTACAATCTGATATCATCTAAGGATAAATTTGGATTCATAAATGATGATCAAAAGAAATTAGTTTTACTGCTAACCTAAGACTTGATAAGGCGATTTTCACCTTAAATAGTCCTTGCCAAACTTTTTATATCCTGAAGAACAACAGAGGCCGCATTACGCCCAGGAGCTCCCATCACACCACCTCCAGGATGTGCACCACTCCCACATAAATAGAGACCTTTTAGAGGCGTCCTGTAATCTGACCTGAAAGCGAGAAATCAAAGAGGCTACGATATTATTAATACACTGATATGCATTCATTGGAAAAATGCCCATCAAGCAAAAGGAATCAAAGGGAAGCAGGCATGCAGAGAAAAACAAGGCATACGCTTTGCCAGCAGTTTCATGTCAAGAAATCATTTAAACCTTCAAAAAGAAAAGAATAACAATGCGACATATATAGCAGTAGTAGAAGGTCGCTAGACGAACCAGCCCTTGACTGGTCGCATTAAGAATAAAGAATCCAAGTTCATTGAACCATGGAAGATGTTCCCACCTGCAAATATCCAATCAACATATAGATTTATTAAACTGAGAATTCAAATTGATTAGGGCTGAATAATTCCCAAGCTAAGTAACCGCAATTTCTGCTATGGACGCATCTATAAACAATCAGCAAAATTAGAAAGGTGTAAAATTTACAATAACATATACCAGTTAGTCCAATGATTCTTTCAAGGTCGGGTGGAGTCAACATATCATAGTCAATGATTGTTGAGCTGAATCCGGGTGCATATTCATCAATCAAGGAGAAACATCTTTGAGCAAATGATTCCTGAACATGTATGCTTTTATACGTCAATATACTGCTATAAATATCTAGCATTCCTTAAATAATAAAATCAATTGGATCCTCAGTTGAAGAAAGAGTAAGACAGTTTCAATGCATGCACGGCAAGGATGTTTCTTGCAAATTTCTCTGATGTTCAATATGGAAACAGGCCTCAGGCAAACACATATCCATGATAAAGAGCAACAGAAGACCACCAATCAAATATTATATGCCAGTAGTATCAGACTAATGACAAACATGTGTTCGCGATAAAAAACGGATTAAGGGCATCTCCAACCGAACTCCAAATACATGAATGACGTCACTCGCGAGCTCCAGCTGAACGACAAAACTTTCAATATTTGGTTGCGGGTGAACAGTGCGGCGCCCCGCGTTATTTCCTGTCTTTACCGGATTTGCCAAAGAAACGCGCCAAAGAGGAGAAAGGCGGTTACCTTATGCGAATGGAGCAAAATGGAGTTCAATTGGAGATGAATCCCGCCATTTTTTAGTTTCGCTGCATTTTGGAGTGAAAAATGAGATTTTCAGTTGGAGATGCCCTAAGACCCAACTATGGTGATAACGAAAAACAGATGAAGTAAAAACATGCACATAAATCAGCACACACGATACTTGATACCCAGAAACAGTATAAACTGGCTCTAACTCACTCGAATGGTAGGGTCTTCCCAGTTGCCCTCTGTAAGCTTGAAAGGTGTGTATTGGATAAAAAGATTTATCACATGCTTACCTGTTAGGGGGAGATGAAAATCATTTTCAAAATCTGTATCCAATTCGTTGGAGTGGTTACAGAAAATGATGCCATAAAAAAATAATGCCATCTCAAAATTGTGTCCTTGTACATAACTCCCAATACCCATTTTTATATCCAATGAACTGTTCTAAACGAAAGTAAGATCACAAATTCTACAGTAGCAAGTGATAAGCAGAAAGACTTCTAGCTCTTTCTTTTCTGTGCTTTAAAAGACTTCTACATCATATTGTGGAAATTCTCAATGTAAGTTTTATACAATACCAACGTAAGGTTAATTTTAAATGCACAGCAAATTTGACAATCGGCAAGTTCAGCAGCTGCAAATCTGTTTTACCAGGAGGAGAAATTGTCTTGTCAAGAACTGAAGGAATTGTCATTTCAATGAGAGGTCTCCTGGATGGTATGCCATTTACAGCATCACGGTAGGCTAAATCAATTTCTTCCATGCTGAAGAGGAAAAGAACAAGAGCTAAAAAGGTTGATTCAACAAACTAAGAAAAATGTTGATATAGCATCGTTTAAAGGTGTTCCGCATGGCCAGCAAGAAGTTGCTAAAAACTGTAATAAAACAATAATACAATGCCAGGAAATTATTAAATGATACAAGAACACAGTTACTTTTGGAGAAAAATAATAGATTAATAACATCATTAACAGAATTAGAGCTTATAAAGTTGCTTTTTTCAACGTTTTATGGTTCATCAGTTCTCCAACTATATTTCAGTAAGTATTAAATGTTATAATTGGTGGTGCCTTGATGGAATTCTTAAAGTTAGCATCATCTTACTGAGCTACCTCCAAGCATCTATGCTGCAGATTGATGGTAAACAGACTTTATTTTGTCCAAGCTCTTTTCAAGCTACGATCATTGTAGTGTTAATTTTGTGTGGAATCTGATTCTATCGACCAATCGGGTTATACTATTGACTCATACCTCAACTCCATCAGTCGAGCTCGACGAGAAGCTCACTGGAGGGTCATAGGAGGGCAACGTGCCCCCTACTAGGGGGTTTCGGGGGGAGCAGTCTTCACACTATAATTTGAACTAGTCTTTAAGAAACTTTCTTTTGCTTGCTATAAATACAGTTTCCAAAAAATCTAAATCCATAGATTTTAACCCTGAAAGCGTTCTTTTAGAAAGAAGAGATTCCAAACCTTTCTTTCTACAATTTCAGCACTCAAATTTCCCTTTCTGATTTGAATTTTTCTCTTTTGGATTTAGATATTCCTCAGCTTGAATTCCTGTCTAAACCCTTTCCTCTATTTTCAACATTCATAGCATAATTTTAAGTTTCACCATTTGCTTTCCTGTGAACTTCATTCAGCGCAAACCCCATGATGTCTTCAAAGTTTAACTCTATATTCCCAGAAGTCGCTGCGATAACTAAACCATCCTAACTATCTAGTAATGAAGTTAAAACAACAAAACCCTAAAATCATCATCAAACTTGATGCCGACAGAGCATAAATGACTTTTTATAGTGTACAAATTATTCAAATGTTCAGTCATTGAACTACTATCTATCACCTTCATATTGAATAATTTATTCAATAGAAAAACCTTATTTGAAGCCGAAGGCTTTTTGTACATTTTTGTTATTATAACCATGAGATCGACAATAGTCTTCTCATTAACAATGTTAAAAGCAGCCGACAAGGAAAATGAAAGTCGAATCAAATCTAGGGCTATCGGATCAAGTACTTCTTATTTCTCCATAGTTATTGATTCTGGCTTGTTGGTTATTCTATCCAGCGACAAATACAACTCTTGATAGAACATATCTTTATTTGCATCTTCTAGAAAACAAACTTCAAACTATTGAACTTCTTAATCCTGTATCTTATTTTATTAGCCATTAATTCTACTTAAATAAAAGAATACGACTCTGATATCTGTTGTTGGGAAGTAAACCAAGAATGAAACAAACAAGAAAAGAAAATGCAGCCTATGGGTGGTTTTGTTGCAAAATAGCACAACTATATCACAGTTACGACCAAAGATCGTATGCTTGTCAATGGTTAAAAATCTCTTGAGTAATGAATCATAAGGTGCACTCGATAAGGCATAAAACTTTCTATTAGCTAAGGTTTAAAATTGCGCAATATAAGGCTCACCTTGAGGCCCGCCTTTGCGCAATTCCAGTAAAAAAAGCCTCGATGCTTACGCCTCGAGGTTTTTTTATGAGGCTTGCGCTTCAACTTGGTTGAGGCCCGCATCGCCTCACTGGAATGAGGCTTACGCCTCACGCTATATATATTAAAACTTACATAAATCTTGAAGTAAATACCTGACATTGGACTCTATAGGAGAGGAGGAAGGGGATAGAGCAGTTCATCATAATGATGATTCAAATGAAGAATCCCTTAGTGATGACAGTGTTGATGACTTATGAGTTCTTATGTGATATGTCATTGCTATTTGTTTTTGTAAATTGGAATTATATGTTAATGAAAAGAATACTGGGATTTGAGAAAGATAGAATTTTGAGTTGAACTATATTTCATGTTGTCTTATTATTGGGATATTTTGATTTCAATTCATATCTTTTGCTTTTTTATGCTTTATATTATTCACTCATTAGTATATAAAAAATTTATCATTTTATATTTACGCAATCTTTTGATTTTGAGGCTTACGCCTCAAAACGCCTTGAGGCTTACGCCTCGCCTCACAAATGAAAAACGCTTCAATACCCGAATACGCAATTTTAAACATTGGGTTGACTAAAATTTATCTCCAACAAACATCCACCCCAAGTCTACAAGGTACCCCTAAACGAAACAACCAATGTTGTTGACAAGAATCCTTCGGTCAGGTTGGATCACTACCTCCTCTAACTAAGTAGACTAAGGACCATGACGGCCCGGGATGACGGAATCATGAGACATTGATCGGGTTCATCATCATTCCCCCTAGCATCCGCTTTAAGTATATAAATAATAAATTTTAAAATTCTAAGAATTCATATGCTGCTACTATATACTAGATACTTTGTATCTATTTAATGACTAGCCTTAATCGAAAGTGCTCTCTCGTCATTGGGAGGGGCAATTAACAATAGGTGCTTGCGCCTATAAGAAATCTAGAACTACATTATAAATTACTCATCAAATGAGGGCGAAATCTCTGGGTAGTGCTTTATCTTAAACTCAAAGTCAATCTGCCTTTTGAAAATTTGACCTGAAACACTATTAAAACTCTCCTGAAAGAGGGGAGAGCTTGGGAGTGAATTTTTAGTGCCCACACTAATATATTATATATAATTTTCACTTCAAAAAATAAATTTAATAAGAAGGGAATTTTATGAAGTGGAAAGACAAACCTAGATACTATGAATCATGGATATCTCTACAATAAATTCAGTATTTATGCTAAGATCTATTTGAATAATATCAAATAAACAATTCCTTGGAGCTAATTTTTGTTCAAGCTGAGTAAAATCAATGTTATTGACAGCTTCACGGCTTTTTTTTATTGACACTCCCATGTTACCTATATTTGCAACTTGTTTTGCTGGCGACTCCTCTGGATAACTACTACGTTTCCTACACTTGTTCTTCTTTTGGTTCCTATAGTTGTGGTTTGCTTTTAGGAGCATAGCAAGTATAATAAGTGATTTTCTATAGGAGACCTCTTTGGGTTCCACAACTATTTCTGCACTTCACAAGGGATTATAGCAGCTCTATGGATTCTATTGTAGTACGACTTCTTTAGGATTGTAGCGCCAGTGAATGCTGCAATTCATATCATAAGCTCTTCCTACATTTCCTCTTTTTAGTGGCTTCATTTTAGGAGGTTTAATATGATTATATCCGAGGAATATAAATAAGGATCCAAGGTATGAAAAGAACATAATCTAGTTGAATAAAACTTAGCTCAGATGTGCAAATCCTTCTCCTTTTGGAAATCGACACCTTGAGAAAGAGTGAAACTTAAATTGCTAAGATAGATTGTCACCTTGCATAAGCAGGAATCTTGATATTTCAATAGTTTGTTTCTCTTTCTGGCCCCTTTCCCCAGTTAATAATTTTTTCATTATTTGCTAAGAGAGTGATTGAGTTTTGTCAAATGTGTTACAATCTGATTTTATTTCTTTTGCATTACATTTCAATCTATGTCACTGATCTTCTTAAACCATGAAAAAAAATGATTGAGAGCATGGAAGGAGGCTAGTGATGATGAAGATGATGAGGCCTCAAGACAAGGACAACATTTTTTTCCCTCTGGAGAGGTGGTACAGGAATTTGATACATAATTGTAGCAAAAACTTACGGATGGAAACTACTAACAATTGACCACAGCTAGTTTCTAATAACCTATTCTTTCCATACCTTTCAGATCCAATATGTATAGTACCTATATGTTGAGGCCCGGGCCCATCCATATCAGTCGCACAACAGCAAAATTGAGGCAACTTATCGACAGCAACATTAATTTTAGTTGTCGCCTGAGTGTTAAAAGGAAAGAAAATCTCATTTAAAATTTTTTGATTGCATGAATAAACAAAAAAGACTTTAAAAAACAATGCGAACATTTTAGAAGGAGCAATAAGTAGAATGCATTAGCAGAAGAACAGGACACCGAATCCATCCTCACCGAGCTGTAGTCACAATTTTTTATAGCTTGGAGAAATTCTTCCGGAAGAAAAGCAGAAGGCACTAACTCCTGCATTACAAAAGGTCACAGTAAGAAAATAGAGCTCACACTGCAGCAAGAAAATCTTCTTGCTTATCCCAAAATTTCAAGCAATAGGTACAACATAGCAGGGCAGACATTAGAAGCTGAAAATAACAGCATGGAAGTTTACCATAAACGTCTTATATGGGGTTGCATTTGACAAAATTACTGAACTATGAACTTCTTTTCCATCTGCCAAAATTACCTGAGAAAGCTTGTTAAGAAAAATGGAACACAAACTTCTTAACACGAATTAAGGATATACATTGACAGAACTCACCCCAGTCGCAGACCCAGTATTCTCATCAACCATAACTTGAGCAACCTAATAATAAAGGCTGTTAAACATTACTACAACATAGGGAGTGAGATTGGAAAACTCAGTGCAACAAACTATGCCACAAGCCTAAACTGGCGGAGAAGGCACAACCAAGAGTTTATAACCTAAGATTAAGGCTTCGTTTGGGACGGCTTTTTTACTGCTTCTTAAAACGGCTTTTTAGCATAAAAATTAAAATTTCTAAAAGAAGGAAGCTAGGTTATCAAGAAGAATCTAGAGAAGCTCACTGGAGAAGGATCTAGAGAAGAAAGCTAGGAGCAACAGCTCAAGATGCTCTTACAGGATGATGACCACTCTTCTAGCATCCAGAGGGCCTGCATCATGCAACATTAATGAGACCACCAGGGAGAAGCCAGTAGGAGGAGGGAGTGGGGAAAATTTCAAGAGGCTGAAAGAGAATGAGATGCATAAGAGGAGGGCAAAGGGGTTGTGTTTCGAGTGCGAGGAGAAGAATACGCCAGAACATCGGTGCAAGGACCGAACTCTTCAGGTTCTCACCATCTGTGATGACGAGGAAACTGAGGGAGGTGAGGGGGAGTTAGAGGAAGAGAGGGAGGAGAAGTTGCATTTGGATCTGGCTGAGATTTCCCTGAAATCAGTAGTAGGGTTCACCTCGAATCATACAATGAAGGTGAAGGGGGAGATAGCAGGCATGAAGGTGGTTGTTTTGATTGACAGTGGGGCTACCCATAATTTCATTTCCACTCAGATTGTCAACCAACTGAGAGTGAAATTGGTGGACAATGGTTTTTATGGGGTGATGATGGGTACATGTAAGGTGGAGAAAGGCCAGGGGATCTGTAGAGGAGTGATGTTGACCATCAAGGGGATTCAAGTAATGGAGGACTTTCTACCACTAGAAGTACTGATGTCATCCTGGGGATGAAGTGGTTGTAAACCTTGGGGGAAACCAAGGACAATTGGGTAACACTCACAATGGAATTAATGGTGGATTGGAGAAAGGTGGTTATAAGGGGAGATGCAGGGCTATCCAAAGCCATGATATCACTTAAGACCATGGTTAGGGACATACAAGAGGTGGGGGAAGATTATCTGGTGGGACTACACAGGTTGGATGAGATCAGATTGGAGGAGGGAAGAGATACTTCTCTTTCAGTGCAGCCCTTAATTCAGCAATTCGGTAAGGTTTTTCAGCCACCTCAAGGATGGCCACCTCCACGGGAACACAAGCATATTTCCACCTTGAGGACAAGGTGGATCTTTGGGAGGGGAGTATTGTTAGACCGGTCCAGCCGGTTCACGCGGGATCGACCAGAGCATGAACGAGGCGGATTGCCTCCGCCTCTTTTCTGAGATTGACCGCACCGCAAGCGCCTGCAGATCATTTTAGGAAGGATTTTTTAGGGCTTTGGGAGGAAAATCTGAATGTAGGGACTGTTTAGGGATTTCCTTTTTTTTTATGTGCATTAAATACTTTGTTTTCCTAGGGTTAGGGCATCTTGAATTTGGCTGAAATTTGAGATTTCTTCGATTTCTTTTGGGCTCTAGCGACGTCTAGAGATTGAGGGAGAACGATCCTCCTCTTGAATAGATGATCAATTGTATCTTGCTATTTTTCTGTTTTTCTTTCATCAAATAATACAAATTATCTACTGCTTTTGTGGTTTTGACAGACTATTGTGAAGATTTATCGTTGTTTTCCGAAGATTGATAGGAAATACTTGAGATCTACAAGTGTTTCCTATCATTGACTTCCAAAAAAACTTAAGAAATCATAACGGTTAAGCATATACCTCTGCATTTGTCACAATATGAGCTCCGACTTCACAAGCAGCATTGCTTAAAGCTAATGACACTGAACCCATCCCACCTTCAACATACCTGCAATATGCATTTTAACCCAAAATTATTTTCTTCAAAGTTCAATAGGGAAATGCTGAATTATTATCTCATCTATTTCCTTCTACCCTGTCAAATGCCACATTCTACCAATGTCTATAATCACTGTAGCTAATGTAGTCAAATAAAAAAAAACTCATTACGGATAGCAGATAATTAAGATGACATGATATAAGAGATCTAAAAACATCAATAAAACTAGACACATTAAAAATGAAGAAAATAAGATATTATTAAATATTAAGACATCAAAGAAAGATGAAAATACTAATTTGAGAAATTATTAAATGAAAACTGTAAGGGGGAAAAAATCTTTTTAGAAGATCAAGTAGTAGAATGAGTTTTTTTTTTTTTTAAGTGAGAATGAGTTGTATTATAGATTGATTCCAAAAAAAACTGAAGTTGATTTAATGATGAAGAAAATGCATAAAGGTAAATTAGTAAAGCTATGGATCAAGATGAAATATCTTTTGACTCAAAATACAACTCAACTTCAGTTTTTAGAATTGAAGCTACTCTCTCATTCAAGGCTTTGTCAAAATCTCCAACTTTTAGAATTTTAAGAGTGTAGGCTTACCTTATCAGGTCTTTTGATTTTACTTGCGCAGGCCTATCCCCCATATATAACTTATTTAACCTTCTCAATATCATTCCTTTTTAACCATCATGACATATGCCATTATAGTCATTATTCTATGAATCATCTATGTTCATACATTAATAAACTGGAATAAACTGAAATAAATACTTGAGTAACATAATAAATATGAAATTACAATTATATAATTTTTTTATTATTTTATATAGCACTGTTTGGGTATCTCACCTCATTTTTCACAACAGTCGGGTAATTTGGTTCACCTAAAGTATCACGATCTCTTTTCCTTTTGTATACAATCTTAATTACAATATTCTTCATTCAACTCAAAATTCCTTTACTCTCCTAAACTTTTTCACTACTTCCCTTCCTTTCTTTTCTATTTTCCCCTCCTAAATTCAACAAACTGATTTCAGTAATCATTATTTCAGCAAATAGGAGCAACAACCATCATTTAATTTTAACAAACACAAAATTCAGAAATCTTTTATTGAATTCTTACAACATTTTTCAGCAAACATTATAACATCCTACCTAATTTCAGCAACACTGCAACAACCCTTTTCTCTAATTTCAGCAACCACTATAGCAGTTCATTTCCTCCATATTTCCTAAATTAAGCAACCACCGCTTTCAGCTATATTTCAGAAATTCCAGAATTTTAATTCAGCGCAATGATTGCAAAAATTGTTATCTCAGAAATTCAACCATTGATTCCACTAGATTTCTAAAATCTTAGACCTCCTACCACAATTTCATTACATGATAAATCAGCTACCAAACCTACAGTTCCCACACACAGCCCGCCTCCTTCAACTCTAGCTTTCCCACGGCCTGCACAGCTTCGTCTCACGTGAATGGGGAGGGAATTAAATGAAAGAATGGCTACAGGTGAGTATTTTCACTGATTCACTTGTGTTTGCTAATATAATAATATAAACCACTCCACTAAGCCACTATACATTAACGCTATCCATAGGATGGAGTATGTGAGGGATCGGCCATTGCATGCCAAGCTAAGTGGAAATAGCAAATGACATAAACAGTACATTAAACTTATATTAATACTAATTAAATCTTAATTATATCTGGTCAAGAGATTTATGTACATATATGTATCTTTTAAATACACTTTTCTAGAACACATTGCTCTAAATTAAACTAGAAAAAAAATGAAGTTAGTGTTTCCCATATGAGAAAAAAAATAGGGAGTGATTTCGGGAACTATTCATACTTACATTTGACAAAACTTTAGGTATCATACTCTGTAACCTATTTAGTTTTTTGAATGCATAGAATATTTATCTTCTTATGAATTATTAAATATATATTAATTTCATTAATTTACCTATAAGAGAACCTATATTCCACGTTCTTATCCTAATTCTATTTTCATGGACTAACTTCTATGCTTATTTAACACTGTACACAGGTGCCGGTGAAGCGGCCTTTGAACACTTTTCACTATATTCAGGTCATACAACGCGTCGCTTCCAGGGAATGTCGTAGCATTAATATAATGTTTTAAATGATTCATTTCATGATTATTCGACAAATTTTATACTGTCTGTCGACTACCTAATGCAACACTCCACTTTTCTCATCTAAGACTTGCGACTTGACAATAGTAATGTTATTAAGATTGATGTGTGAAAAACAAAAATGTTAGATTGAAAATTTATTATATCAAATGTATAGCTACAACAATACTTATTGAGTATATGATTTTGGAAAATAGAATCAAGAGATTATATCCTACATAAACAATGGTTAATAATTTACTAAAACTAAAGTAACAATAATACAAAGCAAAAATAATAAGACCATAGGTGTAACTTGGATAGAAGTTGAGTGAAACTATTTGCGTAGAATGGGTATAACACTAAACTTACCAAACAATAGAAGCAAATGGAAGATAAAGTCTCATGAAGTCAACAGATAATGGTGATGATGATGATGATGAAATATTTAAGATGGGTTTGTGCATGGATGAACCAATAGTACCGATTATAACAGAAATATGCCATAATAAGCTAACCTAATTATATTTCTTCTATAGCACTCTACTGGATCATAGTGATGCAGGACTAAATGCAAAACAGGAAACTTGCACAAAATAATTAGAAAGCAATTTTGGATTTTTGTTATTAGCGATTAAAACAACAAAATAAAACTAATAAGTGGTCACTTTTGTTTAGGCTAAGCCACGCAAGAGACTAAGCGAAATCAAAACATTTAGGAAAATCAAAGCATTGCATGCGAAATAGTTTCTAACATAACCTTGGTCTAACAATGAGATCCAAAAGCAGAGAAGTAGCAAACCTACGCTTACTAATGGATGGCAATAATTAAACACAATCTCTTTCTTGAACAATCTCTCTACGAAGTAAGTAGAATGTGAAAGTACACGAGTCAAGGAAGAAGATCACCTTCTCGGAGAAGCGTCTTGATACACCAAATACCTTCCGTTAGTTTCTCCTCCATAGCCTTGGTCAAAACGAATAGTATGTAGTTGGAGGACTTCTCTATGAACCCATCAATGTTTGGATTCAAGTCGAAGAATGGCAAGTTGAGAAGATCCACGAAAATTTAATCGTCTTATGCAAGGCCGGAATCAAGCTCCGGATTGGTCGTTCATCATCAACAACAAAGAGAGAGAGCACAATAGAGAAAGGAGGAAGAGAGATGGAGGAGGGAAGGGAGACCGGCGGCTTGTAGGGGGACAAAGGTTTAGGGTTTGGATAGAATTAGGTTGAGGGAAAGTAGAAATATTCTCATCTCCAAATCTGAAATTATTTTCAAGTTTTGAGTAGATTTGGAGGGAAAACACTTTGAATTTGGATTTCAAAACTCAAGCCATTAAGAGCCTTAATGTAGCATTAAAGGAGTGGAGCCCATACAAGGGCCCGACGGCATGGAGAGAGGGGAGAGGGGGGTTTTGTGGAGAAATTTAAATCCCCTTCCTAATTGGTCTCTTTAATTTAGGAGAAGAAAAATTCCACCCAAATTAAATTTGAAATTACTCATGAATGGGATTCAATACTTTCCTAAAATTGCTTTCTAATTTAGGAAACTATTTAAAATTCAAAATTTGAATTTCAAATGATGAAAATAATTTCCCAAATTATCTAAACTCTTTAGGTAAGAATTAAGGTGGCATTGACTCCTCATTCATGGCGTCAAACAAGGGTGGCCGGCGGAGGGGCTTGGCTTGGGTGGGGTGGGTGGAGGAGCTAATGGAGAAAAGGGATTGAGTTGGTGGTTAGGTTGAGGTGAGCTTTGGTAGGAGGGGTTATGAGGTGGTGGTTGGTGGTGGTGATGGCCGGCGGTGGAAGTTGAGTAGAAGGGAAGAAAGGAGAGGAGGAGAACCAAGAGCCACCGGAGGTGACTATTGGTTACGACGAGTGGCCTCTCCTAGGCTCCACCAAACTCTCAAATTCATTCTCAAGCTCTCACCTAAGCTTCAAGAACATAATTGCAGGAAATTTTTGTGATTATCATTCATTAACCTCAAAAGAACAAGATGAAGGCTTTAAATAGCCTCTTACAATGACATAAAAAAAGGACTCAAATACCCTCAAGGGGCTACATGACTCAATCCCTCAAGCAAGGGTAAAAAGGAGAAAATGCTAAAATAAAAATACATCACTAAGGCAACAATAATAAAATCAAAAGTACATCGGGTAAATCATGGCCGTTGACTACGGCCACGTCGACGATAGACTTTCCAACTTATGTCCCCATCACATAGCCTATCATAGTCACCAACTAGCCATAAGCTAAACTTCTACTCATCACCGTCCAATAGTTCCCCACCCTCATGCATGTCTCATATTACCTTAAATAGTCTTAAAAAATGTAACAATTCAAGTGACACATGCAAATCTCCCAGATCTAAAACCTAAAATAAACCAGACAAATTTTAAGTTTGAAAAGTTTCCATCTTAATGTAAGTCATTATGATTCATGAACTTAAGAATTGATGCCTTTATTAAATTTATTTAGTATGCCCACCAAATAAATAATGCGCTCCTCCATGAGTTATTACACAAGCATAAACAAGACATTTAGTAGCATGACCCATTAAAGGTGTTTATTATTTTTTTTTTTTTTGACCCATTAAAGGTGTTAATTTAATTTCATTTGTCAAGATAGGGTTATCCCTTTTACAAAACAACTTATGATAAACTTAGCCAACAAATTTCTTAATAGGTCAAACTTCTCATAGTTTAGATACAACCAGCTTTACACGTAAGATGATCTGGCCAAGGTAAGGGGGTTGAAAACAACCATACACGTGGAGAAAACAATACATATAAAATCTTTTAGATAGGGCACATGAATGCAAATTTACTTAAAAGGCCTTTATATACAAATTATTTAACAAAATTTGTCAAATAAGAGAATAAGAGTAGCTTCACTCCCCAAACAAATTGACACAAAAAAATGAGAGTGGGGACCTCTTTGCATAGATGGCTCAGTCAACGCTCTTCCAAGCAAACTATATGAAACCTCTTACCACTTTGATCGGTTTAACAATCCCATTTTTTCTTGAATTTGTTTGGAAAGTGTAGCAATTAAACTCTCCCTGTGATGAAACAAGTCATTGTCAATTCAAAATGGGTCACATTGAATTGGTAGGTTATAATTAGCTTACATTGAGTCAAATTTAGGTTGGGCATATTCAAGTTACAACACAACCTAAACCTTGTATCCAAGTAATCAATAGGTCATTTGTGAATTAACATGCCAAGCTAGCCCAAACCATCTAGAGATGTGGGCATAGTTAGCTTTCATTGATTCAGCCCACTACCCTGCTAACCTTTCTCAAGAAATACTTGAATTCCCCACCCAATATTGCAACTTAACTAGATATCTCTAATTCTACTAATATTTTTTGTGTAGATAGGCATGGTCAACTCCATATAGAATTATCTTAGAATTTAATTAACAAACATAATAAAATCTAGGAAATTAATGTAGCTTCATAGCCATACAGAAGAAACTCTATTTTATTGTAGAAAATATATGGAACACACTAAAATAAATATCTTGTCTTTAGAGCCATTTATGATATACTTGATGAGGACATCGACAGACGCTACCGACATGTTTATCGCCGGCGAAACCGCAGATCGACGGCCACGATTCAACGCCTCTATTTCTAGATGTCATTTTGTATTTTATTATTATTATTGTCTTGTTTTACTGTTTTCCCATTTTACCCCTGTGGGGGAGTTATGTCTTATTGTAGCCCAAGGGGCATTTGAGTACTTTTATTTTGTTTGTTTGAAGACCTATTTATAGGGGTCTCATGCTTTGTAATAGGCTAATGAATTATTGAATGAAAATTGAGTTTTTGTTTCTTCTTACTCTTCTTGCATGAGAGCTAGAGAGAGGTGAGAGAGAAAGCCCAAGGTGAGGGCGAAAAGCAACACCCACCAGTCATTGGAAGAGTCCGTGGCTCGTGGTTTATCCCCGCCGGCCACCTTGGATGGGCCCTCCATCATGTCTCCACTTAATGCATTAATTACCCTATTAATTTGAGATCAATTTCAAATTAATTCCCCTCCAATTTTGTTTAAAATCTGAGCCTAATTTCAGTTTTGAATTTCTCAAACTCCCTCCCCCTCTATTAGCCGCCGGCCTCCTCCTTAATGGGTCCCATTAAGGCCCATTAATTACCCCTTAATTCTCTTGCTAATTTGGAACCAATTTCAAATTTCTTTCCCTCCAATTAACACCAATTCTGAAATTTAATTTCAGATTTGTGTAACTCCCTCTCTCCCTTGCTTAACCTAATTTCCCTCACCCCATCCACCCGCCCCCTCCTCCTCTGTTTTGGCCGACCGCTCCCCTCACTCCCTCTCTTGGGAAATTTCAGCAAGACGAAGGGACGACGACATCTCTCCCAAATTCTTCTCAATGTTGGATGGCGGATCCCGAGCTTGAGTGGGGTCTAGTATTCAACGCCGACGGGAGCATCAACGTCCTACGGTCACCTTGCTTTGACGTAGGATTTGAAGACGAAACCACCGTGGAAGAGTACTTGGAAAGAGTTGTGCCAATCCTTGCAAGCATCTACGACCGAAAACTTTCAAAGCACGCTTGGAGCCTTGACGGTCATCTACGACTTCCATCCCAACCGGCGACTTTTCCTCCGACGAAGTTCTTCGGCGCCCTCTCCCTAGTGGTAACTTCCTTCATCGCTTGGATCTTCTATCTCCGCCAAAAGTCCACCAATCTTTGAGTGATACGGCCCCAAGGTGAAATTCTCGTTGTTAAACGTTGGGTTTTGTTACTTGTACTACGCATTTAATTCCCTTGGATTTTGAATGAACTATTTTGGTTAATCTCAAGTGCATCTCTTTGGCCTAAGCAAAGTTAATGTTTCTAATTCTTAAATCTATCTTGCATGATCCACATAAACTTATAAAAGCAAACTTTTAACAATTCTCTTTTAATTTCGATAGTAACTCCTAGTAGTTTCACATCAATACTTTTGGACTCACAAAGAACAATTAGGTCCTACTCTTTTCTCAGGATAGTGATACAGTGCCAGTTTCTTTTAAGTTCAAGAAAATATTCCTTAAAAGGGCTAGTATTTATTCAATAGTTTCAAATCCAATTTTAAATTCATGAAGAGCATTGGATTTAATTCTATCCTAAAAGGCCCACTTCTAAGATAAACCTCTAGAACATGAAAAACTAGGAATAATTTTTTAAAATGTCATTACAATATTATTTCTAGGAAGACAGCACAAAAAAAATGAAATAAAGTAAAAAACATACGACCAAACACCACGTTCCCCGTCAGTTTCTCCCATCACATGATGAAGCAAGACATATCCTGAACCTGGCGTATAAACAGTTGCCTGCAAAGAAGTTTCATAAACCAAAATAAAAACTACAAGGACAGAGAAAAAATATGTTATTTAGATTCAACAATCCAAATAATATTTCAATTTAACCCTGTAGAGTAATTAAATAAAATTTGCATCGGCTACTGTAAGTCACCTTATCATTTAAAATTCTGATTCCCGACTTTTGAGATGGGGCTCAAATTTAGTAATTGATCAATAAGATCACCTAAGACTGTGATTTGGGCATCAGATTATGAAAGAAAATAGAAAGTTCATGTTCATTGAAATTTAAAACATTCAATTTCTCCCTAAAAATTTCCGACAATAGTGATTATCAAATCACACCATTGCGGTAGAAGAGGATGTCACCATTCAATAGAGTTGTGCGTTGATTTCTCCAACATTATGGAAAATATAATAATCATAATTTTTAAGTTATAATTAGTTAATTCAAAAAATTTTATTGATCAATAAATTTCATGCCAGAGGTTCTCTGAGGATGTAACTTACTAAGTCATATATGTCATTTCCGGCTAATTATTTTTTAAACCAAAAATTTCACGAAGAATTTGGGTTGGATCTTCAAAGGCATTGCCAAAGAATTTTTGGACCTACAATACTCAAGGCAAATACTGTACGACCCGTTTAAAAATATATATATAAAGGAGCACGGCATTAATCAAGTATCTTAGGGTGCTGTTGTCGCTGACAATTACAGAAGAGTTACCATAGAAGTTTAAAAGTAATATAACATCTAGGGATCACAAGATAGCCAACAACAAATTTTTCTGTTTAAAAACGAAAAAAGGTTCTCATACTATTGCAGGAGTTTAAGGTCATGCATATAAATGGTGCTACTATAGACATAAAGAGACATCTTGTCTACCAAATGACCTTGCTGACTGTACTACAAAACTATATTTGCATTTTCTAAGAGTTAACATACGTTTCAGTGAATGCTTATACAAGAGTTTCAACAGAGGTATAATAACATATTACCAACCATAATTATAAAGTAAATAATAAAGAGAAGAATAACTTTTTCCAAGTGCTAATTTAAATGCTATGTAAGTAGTGAGAAGACATGAAATGAAGGAGCAGACAAATATCAAAAAACAAAAAACATAACGAAAATACAAACCATGCTTCCAATAACGGAATCAGTGGCCAGTGTTGCCTTCAAAATCTCAGTCTGCAAAAGGAAATTAACAGAAGGAATATAAACTTGATATTAAAATAACAATCTTGGTTGATGAATCAGTAAAAAGCATTGTGATAGTAGTGCCAGTCTAATGTGACCCCAAGGTCAAATTAAGGAAACTTTCATACGTGATATGACAAGGCACTTCAAGGTTATGATGTGCCATAGTGTCAATCATGGTACTGCTAGTCAATTGCCCATAATCTGTCAATCCACATCCATCAAATGGAGATGCTAAAGACTAGTTGATGAGGACATCAACAAGAGATTCTGGAGCATTTATCAGAGGAGGAATCGGAGATCGACGACCACGGTCAGGAGCCTTTATTTTCTATGCATTGTTATGTATTGTTTATTTTATATTTCAGTTTTTTCCTATTTTATCCCATAGGTAGTTAGTTTGCTATTGTAGCCCTTTGGGCAATTTATTTCCTTGCAATTCCTGATTGTTTTACATCACCAGTGGTTTGGGAAAAGATGAGGCCTGAAATAAAGGTAATAATGAGTTCAAGTTGGAGTTGCTGCTCAGCATATGCTTCTCTCCTTGATGAGTACTTTGTTTTCCACTTGCTCCCTCAACCCAGCAAGCTTGGCGGTCAGCTTGCGAATGTCCTTCATTGAGCACAGTAATGAGATCTCCAAAAGTTCTTGAACTTTTTCAGAGTTGGGAGATATGCCCCCAATGAGATCATCATCCCCGATAACTTGTTGGAGTTCAAGCTAACCAAACACTTCGTTATATTTAACTTCATGTTATATCTCCTTAGGATGGTTAACATCTCCAGAAGATCTTTGAGATATCCTACAAGAAACTTGCTCTCCACAACCAATTCGTTTTACATACTTAGATGCTCCTACTAGATGTCGTTGAAACTTCCTTCTAGATGTCCACTAGTAGAACGTCTAGATTCTAGAGTTCCTAATATAAATCTACTATGAAATTCAGAAAAAAACATATAATAAGCACACATAATTCGTTGGTTAAGAACTTTAGATTGCAATAATTATTCTCTAATTTTGATGAAAACTAAAAATATGTATGGAATCAGTTCAAATAAAAACTTAATGATATTGTGTTATAAATAAAGAATATAAATTCTTAACCAAAAAAAAAATCATGCAATGAGTTAAAATGCATATACTTGCTAAAAACCATACTGTATCAAAATTAAATTAAATCAACTAATAAAATTTCTCTAGTAACAAATGTTAAGACAAGGAAAATGTGGAAAGAAATATTAATATAAAAAGACCCCAAATTTGTATAAAGAGATAAATTCTCTCGAAAATCTTCAAACCTTTTTATTTATCAAGGTGTTGACAACTAAAAGTAAAAGGAATAGTACATCCAACAAGAGTTTTATTAATAACAAGGATTCATTTGGGGCAATTTTTCTATTGCTTTGCTTTTCAAAGTGTTGACACATTTCTATTTAGCTATAACTTTCTTGTTGTTTTTAAAAAATTTCTAAAGTGAGAAGCAACTTTTACAACTAGATTGCTAATTGTAGTAACAATAAGGAAGTTGTCTGGTTTCTCAAAAAAATTTATAATACCCACAACAACTCTTTAAAAAATCTATTTTTATCATGACAATTCTACATTTAATTTAAAAAACACTGGTAGCTGCCCCAACCATCCTAAATTGATTGTCATTTGTACATTTAAAAAACAGCACTTTATAATCATAAAACTTACTAGCAAAAAAAAAAAGCACAAAAAGAAAACAAAAAAGTCATTGAAGACTCGGTCCCTGAGCTTCTTGAGCGGGATAAGAGGAGGAGAAAATCAGAAACATAAAGCATAATGGAAAATAACTATCATTTCCTAATATTGAAATATAAAAGATAAGAGATAAACTTTATGAAGTTAAAATCAGAAATCATAAGATACTGATAAAGTGATGAAGCTAATGAGTACAAACCGTGGAAGTGATTGTCTAGCATAATGGAACTTGTCATTGTTAGCTGACTTTGGCATAAAGGGCACAGGGTTTTTCTTCCAAGAAGGCTAAGATGATGTGTTTGAATTGGGAAGAGACTACTGCTAATACACATACAAATAGCAAACGATTTATTTTATGGTCATACTCCATGAAGCTAGCTAATTTTAGGAAGGAAATTAAAATGTGATAGCCCTCCACTTTTCCATTTGGAAGATACGGTATTACCAATTTCTAGAGATTATCAATCACGGGATGATTGTCCAACTCGGCAATCCATATGCTCTTCTTATTCTAACTATAGAATAAATGTCCACCTCAACAATCCATCCACGTTTTTTTTATTATCATTAATTATGTATTAATTTGTTTCTTAATTTTACGACTCATAATTGATGTGTAAGTAACATCAATAAATATGCACATTTTCTCTATAGAATACGAAATAAGAATCAAAGCTTCTGCCCTACTCTTTTTCATTTTACATGATATCAGAGCCAAACTAGATCCTGTTCCGAAATTCCAAAAACCCCAAATCTCATTCCAAAATCCAGAAAACCAAAGTCTCATATTTGAAACCCCAAATCCTGTTCCCAAATGGCAACAACAAAAATAGCCAGCCTTTATGCCACTACGTAGTGTCGGCTACATCAATCATTTTTATCCCTTGTGTCCCGTTAAAAATCAAATTCTCATTTAAATCTAATAAAGAAATGTCATTTCTAATATTTTTTTAACCAACTCTTTTTAGGTCTAACTCTGTCTTTCTTAACATAAGCCAAATTTAATGCATCTACTTTCTTAACCAGGTCATCGGAAGGCCGCCATTTTATGTGGCCAAACCATCTAAGGCAACTCTCTCTAATCTTATCTTCCACTGGAGAAACTCAAGCCTTTTCACGTATATGCTTATTTCATAAGGTTACCAACGGCATTGAGAAAAAAAAAAGATGTCGCAGCACTGAATTCATTGGAATGAAACATATTATTGTCCTTGGCTAAGGGTCCCTTTAAAGCAAGCATACTCATTAGAGAAATAAATTATGATATGTTGTCTCAATTGATTGAGATGCAGAGTTGAATAAGAAAGAATCTCCTATATCATAAGAAAAACGGCTCCACCTCGTGTCAAATGAGAGATGAAAAATGGAATGCAAAAAATCAAAAGGTAAAAACATTGGCTTCCTGAGTCCGCTTCTCCTAACATCATGAAGTGATATCTTCGTGTACCCACTAACCCTAAAATTTGGAGTACACATTTCAAAGCTTTTTATGATGTAACAATGAGATTAATGTCTATTCTTTTCATCAAAAAGCCTTCTTATCCAAATAAGGTACCAAATCTCTCTCCATATATTTTGGGGAGCTAATAGAAATATTTCAGGAACTAGATCATCTTGATAAAGTGGTCATAAAGGATCTTGACAATGTTAGAGCACATTGATAGTCCATAGAACGAAACTTGCATGCACATATTTCTTACTTGATTAGAAAATTTTTTTAATCATTTTAACATGAATTTTACATAGTGAGACACTCCAAAGTGTAGTTGAGTGTTATCCCTTAGTCTAATGTAAAGGCATTCGAACTACCAATTTGAAAGAGGATATTAAGAATACTGAAAATTTTTGCTATAATTTGTCACCATTGGCCCAATCAGCTATCCCAAGATAGGACAAAAAACACCAATTCGAAGAATTCTATCATTTCTAAAAAACTTGCCAACATATGCACTCATTATAATCAAACATGCAACTCAAAAATTTGTTGCTTTTAACTTATTGGATATCCAGATTGGTGGGATCCAACATGACATCGAAATTCCAAGCAACCATCTGTTAAAGCATATGATAACAACAATTCCTTATCTGATCAGTCGGCTCACATATCCACTAAGCAATGAGCTGCAGGCACCAACTTCTGCGTCATTTCCATACACCGTTGATCTCCTGCTACAGATTTGATCTCAGTCTTCGCTTGTAACGAACTCTGTCATATTCTCTATATTAAGAGATGACACTGTAGCAAAAAGAAGGAATGAACAAAGAGTTTCATGGCTACGTTTCAGTCCTTTGCCTTTCTTATTCTTCTTCCCTGTTTTCTCTAACTCTGCTTGCAGGTTTCTTGTAGCTGCTCCAGAGGATAGCTCTCTTCATGGTATCAGAGCCAATGTAGGTTTGCTGGTTTGGTTGAACAATGAACCAAACAATGAGGTCAGTGCGGTACCAACAATGGTATGCTGCGTGCCCTGTTTTAGTGCATATTTGGCATTGAACAGACGAGCGTGGACGACGACCTCCACGATTATATTGAGAAGATGATCTGCCACCACGTGTTTGCTGAGAAGAAGATCGGCCACGATTGTTGAAATTCTGGCGACCGCGAGAGCGCCCGCGAAAACTTGTGGAAGCCAATGCTGTATCATCAGGCACGCTTATGTTTTATGTATTAAGTTCAGATAAAACATTGATCTCTTCACTGATAAGTAATGAATAAAAATCATCCAGACTGATGGGCTGCAACTGTGTGCGTATGGCAGTTTTAAATGCATTGTAGGCAGATGGCAACCCATTGAGAGTGTACAGCAGTATATCTTCAGAATCAATCGTTGATCCTGCTGTAGTAATGGCATCGATTTTCTGCTTGATCTCAGACAGGTATTGAACCATTGATTTTTCTCCTTTTTGCACATGATGAAGCTCACTCTTCAACTGAAGTTGGCAAGATCTATTTGTCGATTGAAGTCTTCGTTCAATCGTTTGCCATATTTCATGGCATGTCTCAAGATTTAACACATACGATAGTAAAGACTGAGAAATGGTAGAGTACAATGCTGCAGCCAAGTTTTGATCAACAAGCATCCATATTTGATAGAGGGAATTTATGCTTACAGTTCCATCCGCTGCTAACAATTGCTTTTGCGGTTTGATATTGGTTCCATTTAGAAATCCATCAAATCCATTGGCCGAAAACAGCTTGAGTATTTGTGACTTCCAAATGGGATGATTCTCAGCTAATAATTGAGTACTGATCTCAGATTTGACATTGCTCATGAGAAACTTAAGCTGTGCAGGAATTTCTGTTCCATTATCTTTGATACTAATGGATTTCTTATAAAGGATTCTCAGACCAACCGGATTCTCCTCCAAGGTCCCAATCATCGAGGTCTCTACCCCATTAAATCATCCTCCAGTTCACAATCTTTGACCATTCCCACTGAACGCGCCCTGCATTCCACCACTGTGACAGCTACTCAATGGCATCAGCGCTTGGGCCATCCAGCTGTTTTGACTCAGCACCTTTTATCTGTTGTTCTTCCTACTAGCAAGTTATCCAATTCTAGCTTTCATTGCTCTGCCTGCGTGCTAGCCAAATCTCATCGTTTGTCGTTCAGTTTATCTGTTCCAAAATCCTCTAAATGTTTACAATTAATTCATAGTGACATTTGGAGGCCTTCTCCAGTTATATCTCTACAAGGTTACAAATATTATCTACTTTTTGTAGATGACTATACGCGATTCTCTTGGGTTTACCCTCTTCGACATAAATCTGAAACATTTAAAACATTTGTTCAGTTTAAATCCTTGGTAGAAAACCAATTTCACACTTCAATCAAATATTTAAGAACTAACGGTGGTGGTGAGTACGTCAATAACTCATTTAAAATTTTTCTAAATCACTATGGCATAGTTCATCAAGTAACTTGACCATATACTCCTCAGCAAAATGGGGTTACTGAGCGCAAACATCGGCACCTCATTGACACCTTGCGAGCCTTGTTATTTCGGGCTTCACTACCTCAAGTTTTCTGGCCTGAAGCTCTCTTAACTGCAGCATACACCATAAATCGATTACCTTCACCTAATACCAAACATCTATCTCCTTATGAGCTAATTTACCTTCAACAACCGGATTACTCTCAATTTCGAGTTTTCGGTTACTTATGTTTGTGGGCCTCCGAAGGAGCACCGCTCGCGGGGGTTCGAAGGCAGAGGGTACGGCCGCACTATCCCGTAGGACAAAACGATCGTAGGCCTCTACGCTCGACACGAACGGGTCGATGGGAGGGCAGATAAAATCGAGGTCAACAATGTTATCCTTGGATCCCAACTAATCTTCATCATAAATTCATGCCCCGAGCTCACCCATGTGTGTTTCTGGGATATGGTGAACCGACAAAAGGCTACAAGTGCTTCAATTCTACTACAAGTCGACTACAGCTCTCTCGGCATGTTAAATTTTTCGAATCCATTTTTCCATAACAAAAGGTCTCTGCTACCAGCACACTCAATTCTCAGCCCACCAACCTACCACCATCTTTACGAATACCTTCATAGCTGACCTCATTACTCCCTCAAACTAATTCTACTCCTATCTCAAACATACAACCTACAACTAGTTTCACGTCAGCACCTACTCAATTTCAACCTACTGTCTCTAATTCTCCCAGTATACCAACCCCTCAAAACACATCTATTCCGCCTGTCCAGACTAAGCATTCCATGGTAACCAGGTTTCAAACTGGAAAACTTCAACCAAAGAAAATCTTTGACCTTCAAACTATGGTCATACTGCTACAGCCCACCTCCTATTCTCAGGTTGTCAAACATGAAGTTTGGAGACGTGCAATGTCAGATGAATTTGGTGCTCTATAAAATCAAGTTACCTGGACTTTAGTTCCAAACTCACTTGAGTATAATGTACTTGGTTGCAAATGGCTATATCGTATCAAATTCAACACTGATGGCTCAGTTGCTCGGTACAAAGCCAGACTAGTGGCTCAAGGATTTAATCAGAAATTTGGACTAGATTACTTTGATATGTTCAGTCCTGTTGCCAAGTTTCCCACAATTCGCATCCTCTTACCATTGCAGTTACCGGATCTTGGCCAATCCTCCAACTGGATGTGTCTAACGCATTCCTTCATGGAGCTTTACATGAAACTGTACACATGAAGCAACCTCCGGGATTTACAGACAATCAATTTACCACTCATATTTGTCACTTGAAGAAAGCCTTATATGGTCTAAAACAAGCTCTGAGGCAATGGTTTGCTACCTTTACAAACTTCTTACATGAATTTGGCTTTAAAAAGAGCCTTGCGGATCCATCACTTTTTATATATACTCAAGCCACTTCAAAGCTCTATATGCTTATATATGTCGATGACATATTACTCACTGGCAATGATTCTTCAATTATCTCTACACTTCTTCAATCTCTGCAGTTAAAGTTCAAGTTGAGCAATCTCGGCCAGGTGTCTCAGTTTCTTGGCGTTCAAGTTCAGCCAATGCCTTATGGTCTGCATCTATCGCAAATAACTTATGCTACCAATTTACTAGAGCGTTCCAGCATGCTGAATTACAAACCTGTGCAGTCCCCTCTTCCCGCTAAAATTTCTCTTATTACAGAAAATTCACAACTTTATTCAAATCCCAAACTCTACAGGCAGCTGGTTGTGGGGAGAAGGAGGGAGGAGGGGTCGGCGGCTTAGGGGTCTTGGGCTAGGTGACCGGTGGTGGTAGCCAAGGGAGGAGGGATCGGAGAAGGAAATACTATGAGTACTAACTGCGAGTCTCGTAATCCACCGGCGGCAGACAGGTGATGCAAGACCCTCTTTTAGGGTTTCTCCTCTCAAGAACTCACACATACATCAAACAAGAAAAACTGGAATTTTTCATTCATAATCATCCTTAACCTAATACAATGGTTCAAGCCTTAATATATAGGCCTTTAAGATAAAGAAAAAAAATGACTCAAATGCCCTCGGGCTAAAACACAAAGAAATCACTCACAGGGGTATAAAAACTGAAATATAAATAAAAGAAAATACAATAAAGCATCATAAATAGAGACTATGAATCGTAGCCATCGATCTAAGATTCCTCCGATGGTAGGTGCGTCGAAATCTTCTGTCGATGCCCTCATCAACATGTATTATGAAATGATAATGGTAGGGACTACCATAATTCTGAACTTCAACAATTTAGACTCTCATAGCTCAATCCATCAAATCAGCGGTCTGGATATACCTCAACAAATGGTGTGATCGAATGCAAAAATAAAAAATTAGTGGAGGTTTTTTGTTTTCCTCATTGAGGGTCACATGCCCTTATGTTATTGGGGTGATGCTCTTCTCTCTACAACATGTCTCATCAATTGAATTTTATCTCGTTCTCTCAACTTCAAAACATCATTTCAAACACCATTTCCTAATTGTTACTCCGACAGTCCCAACCCCATTCTCTCTTGTCTTCAAATAAATTCATCTTCTAAAACACAAATGCAGCAAGTTACTGCCTCAAGCCTTGAAATATGTACTTGCTGGTTCTAGTATTCATAAAAAAGGATACAATTGATATCATACCCCTACTAAATGCATGTTTATTAAGATAGATGTTGTCTTTCATGAAGATGTTATGCATTTCTCTAAGCCTAAATTTGAGTGAGTATATTGAGAAAATTTAGTCTCTTGTATTTGATACAACATTATTAATCAGGATATTTGATACAAGATTATTCAAATTGAAAGTAAAATATTAAAACGCCATTTGGATCTTCAAAATTAGAGAAACAAATACACAATTTAAACATTTAAATGCTTAAGAAATAAACCAACCCATAGATAGAAAATGGAAAGACAAAACATTGTATACTTATGGGTAAAAAGTGAGGTGGTTGTACAACCTCAAACCAGTTATTTAGAACCTTTGCTGCTGGTGAAACTAAAAGGTCAATGAAATCCCTGTCAAAATGAATACTTTAGCTGATTAAAATACAAAAGAAAATACTAATAATAAGACATTTGTATTGGTTAAAACAAGAAAGTGCTTATTCTTTTCAACTTCCCGAAACTGAAACAAATAAACAGTGAATATAAGAGTGAATATGGAGAAGATATTATATATGCATCAAGAGAAGATGATTACAACATATCCTTTTGTCCCAATGTCAAAGCTTGATGGAGAAGATGGCTCCAAAATGCAGACCGGTTGAATTTTTCCTTGACTTGAGCCATGAGAGATGTCGGATCCCGCCTGACTTCAGGAGTATGTGAATCCAATAGTGAATCCATGAATTTACAGAATTTCAGGAGCTGTTCCTCATATCTGTGTACAATAAATGAAACTGAATTCTTAAATTAAGTTTGCAGGACCACAGAAAACTAATGTACGATTAACATGAATTTCATGTTCCAGCAAAAAAGAAAAGCAAATATTCAGTGATGGCTTTCACTTGAGCAGAGAAGCTTACAGCCCATGATTACAAAAACAAGCATGCCCATTCTGTCAAGAAGAATTGAACATCTCCCATCAAGGAGAGAATTAGTAAAACAAAATGACATGGCAATGTTTCGCATCATGGTATGTATGATTGTTTGATGGGGTCTTGAAGAAAGCATCAGTAGCTGGTTTTCATGAAGTTCAAATGCTCTGTTCAAAATCTTCCACACTTGAATGTGGTTGAGTAATTAGAAGCTGTGGCTGAAAATATGATCTTCAGATACCATTAAATATCAACTATTACGTTTTGACGTAGACATCTTCTAATTTGCCTTGCAAGGAGTCAAATACACTCATGCATTACAGGGACTCAAATTAATATGTTGTGTGCTAGAACATTTATAGCGGTAGAAAGAGAATTTAGTCTTAACATTTAAAAAAAATACTGTACATGCATACGTAAATTAAAAAAAAGATATGATATTTTTTGCATGAACTATCCGAGAAGGAAAACCATAAGCCCTCATCCAGCTAAAATAATTCTACTAGCATGTAAAATCTTGAAAAAAAAAAAAACAATAGAGATCGAACCAAATACTATTGATTGAATTGAACCAACTATAGCCAATTACTTCTCTTAAAATTGTGAAAGGGGAAATCAACAAGGTTGAATGAGAGATGGAGGGAAACCGAGTGATAGAGAGAGGGAGATGAAGCTGTGTGTGAGGCTTTCTGTGATTGGTGCAAGAGAGAAATAATAAAGAGAGGAGAAGACAGAGATAGAGGGTGAGAGATGTAGAATGAGGAAGGACACAGAAGAAAAGATAAAGCAAGAGCAGCCGAGAGAGTGAGCAAGATAGATCGACCAATAACGAGTGATTGTTCGCAACATGACTTCCATGGTGGAAGTAGAAGTCTTGAGGCGTTAATGTTATCATCAAGAGACAATCATTGTTTTGTTCAATCATTCTCCTAGTTAAAGGGAAAGCCAGTGGCCAAGAAATTGTGCATCGACCTTGATGGAAATGACAAGCATTGATGTCTATGAAAATAGTGGGCATCAATAATGGTTATGACTGCGAGCATCAATGATGGCGGAAATTCCAAGAGCTAATGATGATGACGATTGTGAGTGTCAATGAAGATAGAGACAACGGGCATTTGATGGTGGTGATGATGATGGACATCGACGATGGTGATGATGATGGGTGTCGACAATGGTGGCAACGCAGGCATCGACAATGGTGGTGACGACAGGAGTCGGTAAAGGTAATGAAAATAGGAGTTAATGATAGTGAAGGCAATGCTACAAGAGGCAGACTCAAGTGTAGGCCTTGTCAGTAATGGTGAACACGGCCTTGTTGACAATGATAAGCTTCAGTAATATAGGCGAAGACAAATATCAACATTAGTAATGGCGACGAGAGAATTAGAAGTGGTCTTAGAACCACTAGAGCTTAGAGGGGTAAGATCATATAAAGAGGGAAACAAATAAGTGCTTATTAAATGGAGGGACATTCCCGAATTCAATGCTACTTGGGAGCCATATGAGAGGCTTAAAGTTCAATTTCCTTCATTTCACCTTGAGGACAAAGTGACTCTTTGGGAGTGGGATAATGTTAGGCCTACCCAAGGGGGGTCGGCTGAACCAGTTAAACTGGTCCCTAGTGGATCGGTTCTTGTCTACAACTGGCGGGCGGGGGGGGACCATGGAGAAGGGGGTTGGCTAATTTGTGGGGCCCACAACTCAATTAAATATTATTTTAGGAGGGTTAGGGGCTGTTTAGGGATTTTGTAATTGTCCTCTTTGCTTTAATTAGTTTCTCTTGTGTGAGGGTTAGATTTTCATCTTGAATTTGAATCTGAAATATGAGATCCTTGTGTTGAGTTTGGGCTCTAATCTTTAGCTAGAGATTGGGAGAGTTGAATCTTCCTCTCAAATTGAAGATTCTTGTATCTTGTGTTGTTTTTCTTCTTCTATTAGTAAATTTCAAATATTTTTCTCTCAAATTTCTTACAATTTTATAAAAATCTGGTTGATTTTGGCTAAATTTTTTGAAATTCAGATGCATTCAGCAAACTTCTGCACTATTGATGGCTATTTCCTATCACATGATTATGATATTCTCCCTATTTACTAGTTATGCCACTCCAAAAAGATTATAAATAGGCCTCTCATCTTCACAAAGAATAGGAAAAGAGGAGAGAGAAAAAAGAAGATCTGGAAGGAAGAGAAATCAGAGATCTCTCTTGCCACCAAGCTCCTTCCCGACCCCCAGCCATCGCCAAACTTCTGCCTGGCCACTGGCCGTCGCCGGACTTCTACCTAGCCATTGATCATCGCCAGACTTCTGCAAAGCCATCGAACGCCGCCGAACTTCTGTCAGGCCACCGATAAACGTTGGACTTCTATCCAGCTACCAGTTGTCAACGGACCTCTACCTTGCCACCGATCATCGTTAGACTTCTACCTAACCATCAAACTCGTCGAACATTTGCCCGACCACCAGCAGTCGCTGAACTTCTGCTTGAACACCGATAGTCGTCAAACTTCTGCCCAATTTCCTAAACTAGTGTAATTCCACCGTCTCCAAATTAAAGTACGGGCAAAGTTTTATAATTCCCTCAAATTTAGTGGAATTATTTTGACTGTGCATGGTCTCATGGTTTTACCCTTTTTCAGAATTTCCATATAAAAATCCTGATTTTATCTCCTTTGTTTTTTGGTTGAATATCCAAGCAACACTAAGTCAAAAAAATTACTCACTTTAATGTAGCATATATTCTAGCCCACAACAATCTTATTGACGTAATTCAAAGTTATTAATTAAAAACTTCTTGTTCTTATTCATGCATTATAAAAAAATCACATTTAAATTCGTAATTAACTGTTATAAATCTTAAAATCTATTGTCCAATAATTTGTCAGGATTTAACAGGATTGAACATATGACATGCTAGACAGTTTTTAGGATTTAAAACCCTCAAAATTTACTAAATCCTGCTTGTTGCCAAACCGCCCCTAAATATGAAGTTTTAAATCTTAAAAATGTAAACATAACATTATTATGCAGTCCGTATGTAAATCCGCAGATAAAAATGGTACCTTGGATAAGCCAATGAATCCTTCTTCGAAAACTTCGCAATCTCTGAATAGTTCAAATCAACATCTGGGCCTAAAAGAAGACTCCGGCCATCAAGGCACGGAGTGAAAGACGATGGACTCCGCCGGAGAAGCTTCATCCCGTGCCTCACCAACTCCAGCTCACTGAACAAACGGAAAAAATCTGTAACGAAAGAACAGAAAAAAGAATGGCGGAGCAGGAGTGGCTACCGGATAACGGAAGGTCGCAGAAGGCTTTGGAGGTAGCTGCAACGCGAGAAGCGAAATCCCGGAACGATCTCCTCAGTGACGGCGGCGCCACCTACGAGGTGTCGGCGTTCTAGGACTGCGACGGAGAGGCCCGAGCGGGCGAGGTAGGCAGCAGCCGTCAGGCCGTTGTGGCCGCCACCGATCACTACGGCATCGTATTTCTTGAAGGGAGTTGAGCCAGAATCGACTGTTCTTCCTGTTACAGCGGAGCCGCTGTAAAAAAATCGTCGGCAGCAGAAGAAATACCAGCTGCACTGCCGCATAGCTTGAGATCCGGCGGTGGAGGGTAGAAGAAAATGGTATAAATGGGTGGGATGTTCGATAAACTTTAATTAGTTTAATAAAAAATATTTCGCAAAATCGTCAGTTGCGGTCCCATGGTCTAGTGGTTAGGACATTGGACTCTGAATCCAGTAACCCGAGTTCAAATCTCGGTGGGACCTTAACTTTTTATTGATCTTAAGTGAAATTAGAATTTAATTTATTTTCTCAATTTCATATTTTTTTATTTTATTGAGCAGAGTAAATAGTTCAAACGTAAAATATATATATATATATATATATATATCAGAGCTAGTGGCTTGATTCAATGTCCTCATTCCATTTAAGTTTAGTATGAGTTATAAAATTTTATGCATATATCTTTTAGCAAACATGTATGAGTAAAAAAATTTAAACTTCATTCTAGAATATTCAAAATGAGTTAATTTAAAAAAAAAATGTAATTTTATAGTTTTTATAGTAAGAAAATACTTTGGAGCTTTTCCCCTTCTAGCTTTTAATTATATTTATTTTTTAAAATTTTATGGATTTTTCACTATTTAAATAAAAAAATTGTTATTCTATCCTAAAATATTTCAAAAATTAACTAAAATAGATTACACTACATTTATTTTATTTTTCTCCATTTTGTATTCCAATCAAATACCAAAATTGTTCATTCAAATTTATTATTGGTATATCTTTAAAAAAGTTTCATGATTGACATGAATATCAAGGAAAAAATAAAATTGAAATTTTTATAATTAAATTCAAGATATCTTAATTTTGATTTCAGCAAACTTATAGCAGAACTGAAAGTCTCGACAAGATAAACCCAACAATATCAAAAGTGGTCCAATATTAGCTTAAATGAGATCAAATCAGAAAACTTGAAACATTGGAAACTTCAAATATTAATTGGATGATTGAACAACACCCAAATTCAACATGCTTGTAGTCAAGTCGAGCGACTCAACGAGACAAAGCTAACTAGCTCTGGATCACTTGTTTTTTACATCATTAAAACACTTAAACTAATGCTTTATGCTCAATTGAATCGATATAGACCATATAATTAAGTGTTTTTGGATTATGATTCAAATTGTCAAAATGTTCATCTCAAAAAGCCTGTAAATAGTTGGAAGAAAGAAAACAGAGAGCTAGAGAATTTTCTTGCATTTTCTAGGTATCATCACAAACGATAATCACCAGCTATCACCATCAACAACCACCAGTCGCCATCTCTTGACTTTTATCAATATTTAATTATATTGTTGGGAATTAATTATCTTCATGTGGACATCAAACTTCTCAATCCTTATAGGAAAAATTAAGTCCTGCTTTTAGATGTTAACTATCAATCTGTGGACACTTAATTTATATAATCCTCATAGGAAAAATCAAATATTTATTCTCAATTAATCTTATATTCTTCAATTATGAGGAATGAAGGATTATTATATCATCTACTATATAATGGATTTTTTAAATTAGGCTAGGGTCAATGATTTTCAGTCATACAAATAATTTTCCAATTTCCATATAAATAATTTTCAGTCATATGACTTTATCTGCATGTTGAATTTTGCATAACACTGAGATGTAAAATACACTCTATCAACTCAAATTTGCTAACACTTAACAAATATAAAAATTTAGATTGAATGGTTATTTTTCCTTGAATTTTCTCCTAACATATTCATCAACCATATTTTAAATGTAAAAGATACTTAGGACTTGTGGATTAATCATATTGTACGAGTCTGCGCTCACCAATTACAAAAGATGAATATATCAGTTCAAAACAAACATATGGCCTTTCTATGAAGTCACTTAGATTTTATTTGGAACAACTTTCGTATTGTTCTTAAACTAACTTTTTATTATAAAATTTTTATACTAAAAATTACTTTTAAAAATAGTAAAAACAGTCATCCCAAAAACTAAAGAAAACATGGAGAAGCTTATGTTGTACCTACATAATATTTTTATTATTTAATTTAGCTTTATTGATCAAAACTTAAGTTTCATTGAGTTGGAATAAGATTTCATAGCCAATGAAAAAAATCTCTAATAAGAGCATTATGTCTAGCATTGTGGCATCCTGAAGTATGCACAGCGGTAGAGAAATATAAACTTTAGTGTCTTAGCGTTGTACGAAGATCCAGCACATAAGCAAATAAGAGAGAGGGTGTGGCGTTCATAAGAGACATCAAAGTTTTTGCGTGGAAACCCCTGAAAAGGAGGGAAAACTACGGGGCATGTCCCAGTTTGAATGAATCAACTAGTATTTGCAGTCGATTACAATGAGGCCATTCTCAGGGAGAAGGTCTTGGCTTGATGTCACAAATGTACATCATATAGAGCGCATTACATGGTGGGAGTTAGAATAATCAATATAGACATGTTTTTTTTGGTCTGTAGGACCATAGTTGATAGGATAGAGGTCGAAAAGATCGTAATAGGCAGGAGACCGGGTCAGAAAGACCATTTTCCGATGATATAGGTCGGAAGACTGTAGTATGTAAGAGACCGATGTCAGAAAGACCATTGTCTGGCAATGTAGGTCGGACAAACTGTAGTAGGCGATGGAGGTCGGAAGGACCATAGTCGGCATGAGATAGGTGTGATGCCCCAAGATCAACTTGGAAAGAATGTCAATCAATTTCACAACAATTTACCAGAGTTATCTATAAACCTTCAGTAAGCAATCTATCAAACATCTATAAAATTTAAACATCAATATTCAAGTTGAAGGGTTTTACAATAGGGGTCCAAAAGATTGTAGTTGGCCGGATATCTGGGTCACAAAGATCGTTGTAGTAGGACGATAATCTGGTAGAACTCTGGGCCTCAAGTGGTGATCCAGTAGAAGTCTGTGCCTCAGGTGGTGGTCCAACAGAAATCCGGGCCTTAGGTGGTTGTCCGACAGAAGTTTGGGCCTCATATGGTGGTATGGTAGAAGTCCAAGCCTCATGTGCTGGTATGGCAGAAGTGTGAACCTTAGGTGGTGGTCCGACATAAGTCCGGGCCTCATGTGGTGGTCCGGCAGAAATTCGGGTCTTAGGTGGTGGTCCAGCGGAGCTCAGGACCTCAGGTGGTGGTTCGACAAAAGTCTAGCTAAGGTGGTGGTCTGGTAGAAGTCCAGACCTCAGGTGATGGTCTGATGGAGCTCAAGGTGTCAAGTGGTGGTCCGGCAGAAATTCAGGCCTCAGCTGGTTGTCTAGCAGAAGTCCGGGCCTCAGGTAGTGGTCCGATAGAAGTCCGGACCTCAAGTGGTGGTCTGACAGAAATTCGAGCCTTAGGTGGTGGTCCGATAGAAGTATGGGCATTAGGTAGTGGTTCAATAGAAGTCTGAGCCTCAGGTAGTGGTTCGGAGGAGCTCAGGGCCTAAAGTAATGGTCCGATGGAATTTCGGGCCTTAGGTGGTGGTCCGACAAAAGTCTGAGACTTAGGTGGTGGTCTGGCAGAGCTTAGGGCCTTAGGTGATGGTCCGACAGAAGTTTGGGCCTCAGGTGGTGGTCCGGCAAAGTCAAGGCCTCAGGTGGTGTTTTGGTGGAACTTAGGGGGTCATGTGGTGGTCCAGTAGAAGTCCGGGCCTCAGGTGGTGGTCCGATAGAAGTTCGGGCCTCAAGTTGTGGTCCAGCAGAAGCTCGGGGCCTCATGTGGTGGTCCGACAGAGATCAGGGCCTCAGATGGTGGTCCGATAGAAGTCTGAGCCTCAAGTGGTTGTCTGATAGAAGTTCGGGCCTTAGGTGGTAGTCCGGCAGAAGTCTGAACCTCAGGTGGTGGTACGACAGAAGTCTGGGACTCATGTGGTAGGCTGGCGGGACTCAGGGCCTCCGGTGGTTATCCGGCGAAACTCAGACGGTGGTTGAGGAGGAGTGAGGAGGCAAGAGCGATCTCTGATTTCTCTCTTGCACTATTGCTCGGAGCCCCCTTTTCAAGAGGGAAGAGGGGTCTATTTATAGATTCATAGAGTGGCATGGCCCGTAAATTGGTGGGAAATCAAGGGCATATGGGGAGTGGATTGCATAGACGACCGATGTTGAATCCCTTTATCATGGACCTTTTAGTGGACATTTGAATGCCTTAGTGATGTCATAATTCAGTAATCTTGGGCTCGTTGGATTCTTCTCGTCGAGCCGCTCGATTCGACTATAAGCACGTCATGTTTGGAAACCGTTTGGTAATCCAAATTGTGATTCAAACCCTCCAACAACGCTTCAGACCCTTGGTTTGGATCCATTTGGACTCGAATTGAGTCGATTTTGGTACCGTTGGGTTCGTATTTCCGAGACACTCAGTTCAACTATAAGTTTACTTAAATCGGAGTTCGGATGGCTCCAATTTTAATTTTAGAGTAGCCCTTATGATAGATAAGATTAGAGAGAGTTGTTTTAGATGGTTTGACCACAAATTGTCGGCCTTTAGATGACCTAGTTAGGAGATTAGATATATTTAATTTGATTTATATTAAGAAGAATAGAGATAGACCGGGAAAAATTTCATAAAAAAATGTTAAAAATGATCTTTCTTTATTAGATTTAAACAAGAATTTACCTCTTTGACATTACACAAAAAATTCATATAACCATCCCTACATATGAGAATAGAGTCATGCTATTATTTTTGGTGTTGTTGATTATTCAAATTCAATTAAAATAGATTATTATCAAGTCAAATGAGTCAGTATCGGATTAAATGAATCACGATGATAAAAAAATTTGAATAATTCATATAAAAATAGATTAAAAGAATCACATTCGGGTTGGATAGATATTTTAACTATTATAAGCAAATTAAATTTGGTTGAGTAAGTTTGGGTCAGATAGACCAAGCCCAACCAAATCCGACTTCACACCTAACAATTGACATTTGCAGCTCATAAGATAAATCCAATTGGAAACCATCAATAATTGCTACCAAACACTCCCCCTCCAAAATACTGAGACAGACAGAAAGAGAGACGAGGGAAGCATGGAGAGAGAATCACGACCGTTGATCCTGGCGATGAAGGGCCATCCGGGAACCGGCAAGAGTACCCTAGCCCGCGCCATCGCCGCCGCCCTCCGCCTCCCCCTCCTCGATAAAGACGACATCCGCGACCCCACCCTCCCCGTCCAAACCCTACTGATCAACAATTCCCCCTCCGCTTCCGCCCTACTCAACGATCTCTCCTACGCCGTCCTCTGGCGCGTCGCCGAGACCCAGCTCCGCCTCGGCCTCTCCGTCATCATCGACTCCCCTCTCTCCCGCCGAGCCCACCTCGACCGCCTCCTCTCCCTCGCTGCCGGCTCCGGCGCCCGCCTCAAGGTTGTGGAGTGCCGGCCGGGGAATGAGAACGAATGGCGACGCCGGCTTGAGGCTAGGGCAGCCAGCGGTGGAGATTGTGAGGAGGGATGGCACAAGCCGGCGAGTTGGGGCCAGTTGAGGCGGTTGGTGGAGGGGTATGAGGGGAGATCGGATTATGAGTTTGGGGGCGTGGCGAAGCTGCTTGTTGATACGACGGCGGGGGAGACGGTGGAGAATATGGTGGCGAAGGTTTTAGAGTTTTTAGTAGATGATAATTGCGAGAGTGTTGATTGATGCAAAGATTGTAGCTTTCAGAATTTGAAACACTAAATACCGAGAAAGATTGGTGCTTTTGCTTCTCCGTTTCCTTTTTACCAAACTTTATGCAAAGAAAATCAAAGAAACTCTCATTAGCATTTAAAAAGTTTTTTTTTTTGGTAATATCTGCAATCATATAATTTGCTTTATTAATTTACTAATCTATAGCAACTATTTTGAGGGATCTAATTGTGAACTTAAACAAATAAATTCATGCAACGTCACCATTGGATGAATTGAATCAGTTAAAATTCTCTTCAAATGTAATTGTTTGAGTGTAGCAAGAAAATGCTTGATGCCCAACTAATAGTTCAAAATAAATCTCCAAGATTATTGGATGGATGACACGTGCATCCACAATCAATAATTCATTCAGCAACTGAAAAAGACTTCCATCATTTCATCTGTTGGGCGCCATGGCTTTATTCAGAGCAGATTTCTCTAAATGCGAAAATTTAGAAGAAGTATAGTAATAATAGGTTGGATGATGGTACAAAAACAGGTGAATCAACAAAAGCTCGTCATCACTGATGGAGCTTTTCTGGTCCTCATGATAGGATAGATTAAGACTTGGTTTGGGATAGTTCTCGTACTGTTTTTTAAAACAATTTTCTAATAAAAAAAATTAAATTTTAAAAAAAATTATACTAAAAAATCAATTTAAAAACAAGAAAAAAAGACATCCCAAACGAAGCTCAAGTCCCGGTCACATAAAGAGAGCCTAAGGACCAGCTCCAATAAAAATGAGAAAGGTGAAAATGGCTATGCCAACAAATTTAGAAAAAAAAAATCCTTCCAAAACCCATAACAAAAGTTATGGTTGGCCATCGCAGCACGAATGTTGATATAAGAAATGCTTGTAAATTACTGACGTATTCAGCAATGCATCAGCACAAAATTAGAGATTTTCATTCTAAGTATTAGTAATACCTCAACCAGAGAGTGAAAAGGCTTCCACCTTCAATTCTCATTTCGGTGACAGACATCTCGGAAACTGCTAACTTAAGCTTCATTTGGGGGCAGTTTTTTTATTGTTTTTTAAAACAGTTTTAATAAATTATTATACTAGAAGCTGCTTTAAAAAACAATAAAAAAACATCTCAAATGAAACCTTAAACGTCTAAAAAAATGCATCTCTAAACCAAACTAGCAGAAATCTCTTACACCATGTTTAACCTTTTTTGAAGCTCTTCTGCAAATCTTTCCCGGGGAATCATCTCCTCTTGGTGGGATTCAATGTTCTTCAACTTGAGAAAACCACTGTTCAGCTCGGACTCACCAACAAAAACCACCCACGGGATGCCGGATTCAACGGCTCGATCAATATGATTTCTTACTCGTTTGTTTAATCCAAATTCTGCCTTTACTTCTACCTTCCACAGTTCGCTAACCAACTCTGCAGCCAACAGTAGATCTTTACCAAGGATAGCAACCAGGACTTGAGTCTCAGTTGCACGAATAACCTGAAGGAAACAAGAAAGAATAAAGCTAACTGGTGGATATCAGAAACCAAATTGTTGCAGGATTGCAAAAAAACTGTATCAATATATTCTAATTAAAAATTGCATTAGCATGGGATTTAAAATTCTTAAATTTAATTTGAGATGAGTGTAATATATCATTAATCAATCAACTCATTTATTACACTAATTTAAAAAAAAAACTAAAAAATTTTACAATTCATTCTATCAAATTTTGATTGAGATATCCTAGACCAATCTTTTCCCTTCCCATGCAGGATATCTTCCAAGGAACTAAATAAAGCAAAACAGAAGAACAGTTCAGCGACAATAAAAATGTAAATGGCATAACATATATTTTTGGGTTAGGGGCACTACTTTGAGAAAGAAAATCACAACAAAGAAAAGAGAATTTTATCACAATCAAACAAAATGGAAAATCCTATTGTATTAACTAAATCGATGGCACAATGAGAATGAACAGTTCAATTTCAAAGGAAATGATCAATGGCACATGATACAGACTTAGATTTTCATCAATTCCAAGGTTCTTCTCCTTATATCCTCTACAACTGAGTTGCATACCACCATATGCCGTCCGTCATCCTCTGCATTTGAACTCCAAATCTCACGCCAAAATTCGGTATGTGAACACTGCGATGCCAATATTGACGTCGGACTGTTCACCTATGCTAAAAAACCCTCGCTAGCGAATTTGTCGAAGAAGAGTGGGAAAGAGGAGAAAAACGCGTGAAAGAATAGAGAGATGGTTACCTTTGCGGGAAGTGTGCAAAAGAGGAGAGAAATAAAGTTTGATTGGAGATGAATTATGCCATTTTAGATTTTTACAGCAATTTTAGAGTGTAAAATGGGTTTTTCGGTTGGAGATGCCCTTAGCACAGAATGATGGTGGCCGGATTTTATGGTCAAACTTGATTAATATGAGTGATTCCCAGTTCAATAAATCGAACTGGCCAGCCTCGGTTGTGATTTCAAAATTATTGATTAAAGACCTAATCTTTGAAATTATAAAATTATCTTTCATTTAGCTCTTAATTTTTCACTCGATGCTCAATTAATTGTTTTGGTTTCTATAAGTCTTCAATCGTATCTTAACAATGTCGCTCATTTAATCAAGGCTTTTAAAGATGAATATCATTAAAATCATTTAATCACGTCTCTTTCAAAAATAATAAGAATATTTTTTTATATATAATTCAAGGGAGAACCCTCAGGCCTTGCCTCGAAAGGTACTTCACTTCAAGTCAGCAAGCACTAATATGGGGAGCCTCCATTCTGCACCGGAGTACCATAATGAGGAAAGACAAGAATCCATGCATAAGCAAATCATAACAAGGGGGATTGCTATTATGGCGAATCTTCTCCAGATTCAATGAACTTGCGCCCACAACAACATTCCTCATACCTAGAAACCCACTGCAATAGTATTTGATCTAAAGCCAAAGGACAACACTACCTTAAAGAGCGTCCATCATGCCTACCAAATTCTTGGGTGAGGAAAAGTCCCCATGAATCAAAAAGCATCACAAGAGGAATTGGCGTTTGTGCATCTCCCCAAGCTCCAATGAGCCTAGTCACAACTAGGGCTTAGAGTGCTGATTCTAAAAGATCACATGACTCATGTCAACTAAAAAAGATATTTTTTTAATAGGCAGATCAAACAGAAAATTTGACTTTTAATAGGACACAATGGCGAAAAGGATTCATGTAGCTGACCCCACGTAGTGGGAAAAAGGCTTGATGTTGTTGTTGTTGCAGATCAAATAGTGAATAACTACTGGCCAAAGATATCTCCATATTTGAAGGATTTATATTCCAGTTAGAGGTTTATCATGACTCATGAGTGTAAGCCCATCAGTGAACCACCCCTCTCAATTATGTGAAAGAACTCATAATTAAAGATAGTTGTGAAGCTCAACCTTAGATTTATATGATGTGATAATATGACATTCTGATATGATCTATTGTAATACTTCTGTAATGATAACAACTTTTAAGCTCAGATATGGAGGATGAATCTTATCGATCAAGATTCTATGGTCATATCGCTCTAGGTCTACCTGTGGGCCCTCATCTAAATAGTCAGAGGACATGTATTGTTTTGAATATTTGACTAGTGGATCCATGTTAGCAAATTATAGGTTATCTCCTCCAAGGTAATATGTCATATAGGCCAAAAAAGCGCCAATAATGCAAATTTTGCAAAAAAAAAAAAGGTTTTTGGGTTTTTAGACATGTTATATCACTTGTAAACTTATAAACAAGGTCATAGGAAAACATACAGGACTTTGAAAGTGGTCGAAATATGTGGTATAGGGGCATATTTTGAGCATAAACACCCATATTAGAGGTTTTAAAGCATTCCTTACTAGCAAAAGCATTTTAAGTGTTATTAGCATGACACATAATTGGTTCATTTGTAAGCTTTATTCATCTTTGATTTTAGAACATTTGCTGCGTCTTAATTAAAAGGGTAGATGGGTGGCATCTATTAGCATAGGCAATCACTTGTATTTTCTTATCATTTAATGTTTCATATGTCTTTCATATTATTATATTTAGGAGCTTGGGTCAATAGATCGAACATCATGCACTTTATAATAGATTCCTCCAATGTCAATATTATTTTGAATGTGCACATTCTTTGATTGCATCTGATGCTCAGTCTTCTTTTAACTCTTTATTTTTGTATAGCCCCACATATGATGCACAGATACTACAGAACATCTTTCATATTTGCGTCAGCACAAACAAATGACAGACTGATAGGAAATACTTGATTTCAAGTATTCCCTAATCACTTTAGCAACAAATCTCAAAGCGAACTGCTGTCCACAGCAGGAAATCAGCCAAAAACAGTAGAAAAGTAGAGGAAAACTGCAGGAGATAAGGAGAAAACACTTGTTTTTTACTAGTAGACAATGAAAATAGCAAAGATACAATTTGTTCTTCAATCCGAGAGGAAGAACAACTCTCCAAAGTTCTCCGGCGAAGCCAAGAGCCCAAGCACACAAACCCTAGATCTCCAAAGAGAATTCAAATTCAAGGTGAGGAGCTAATTCCCCCCAACTCCTAATTATACAAAATTAATCATAAAGGACAATCATAAACTTCCTAAAACAGTCTCTCACGTTCAAAATTTCCCTCCTAAACTCCCCCTCTCAAGCCCACGTGGACTCACGGTTCCGCCTCCTTGCTGCCATTTCCGCCCAGGCGTCTCGCGTAGACGCGGACCGGTCCCTGTTGGACCGGTCCAACCGGCCCATCCTGGGCCGGTCTAACA